ATGCACAGGTGACTCCGACTCGACAGAAAGTGGGTTACAATGTGGCGGATCAGTTCTTTCAAAGATTGGAGTGCTGGTTTGGGTCTCCTTTTCCTCAAGGTCTTCACTCTCGCCACTACCAATCTTCACAGCAATTTCTTCCTTCTCTATCATTTCGGGTGGCCTCTCAACCCCCGTCTCTGCTTCCGGGCTCTCCCCATCTTTTCCTGTGGCCACTAACTCGCTTTCATCCGTCCTGCTTGCTATCATGTCCAGCTCTTCACCCACCTCTGCTTGGACAGTGTCCCCATCATTTTGCTTACCGCTGCTGACAAGATGTTCAGACTCTTTACCAAGGACAGATGAAGTGTCATCTTTCTCAACGCTGCAAAACGCATCCGACGAGCCGCTGCCTGTTAACTCTGAGAGGCCAGAGGCATGATCTCCACATCCATCCCCTTGCCGTCCATCACTGTTGTCACAAACTGCAGCCACAGCAGCTTGCTTTAAACCACATTCACCATTATTGCTAAAAGACGTGTCGTCTTCAGTTTTAAGACTGACACAGCTGTGCTGCACGTTGTCATAATGAGCGTCAGCTTTAGAGCTGCCCTCTGCAGCGTCGTTAGGCTCAAGATTTGTTGCATCTTCAACGCCACCCTCATCAGGAATTCTGGGAGATTCTCTGTTGTCCGTTTTCTCATTTTCTTCACCATCAGAAGTATTGTTGATGCTTGAGGGCTTGTTTCTTGTATTTCGTTGTCTGGATGCAGCTCTTCTCCCACTGCTCCCCCTCCTGCTGTTTTTCCCTTCTGTGCACGCTTTAGGAGACTGGCAGGGAGCAACAGACACTTGCGTTCCCCTTTGGGACTTCCTCTGCCCGAGGGGGTTGTCAGGCAGACTGTTTGACCGTCTAAGACGAGCAGATCCCGTTACATTTACGGCGTGGCGACTTCTGCCAGGGGACCCCCCTGGATCCTTCCCGCTTCCACGTGGACTCCGGCCTGACTTAGTCTGATTGGCTCTTGCTGTTGACCTTGTAGATTCTGCTGGTGTTTTGTGGGAGTTAAAGGTTTGGCTCCTGATGCTGGTCCCTTTCTTGGCATTTTTTCTCTGAGCAGGTGTCTGTCTCCTAGTTGTTTTGGTAGAGGCAGGCATGGCTGAGGGTGTAAAAGAAGGGACCTCTGGCAGCCAGCATGGGAGCCAGGTAATGGATGATCTCTTGCTCAGAAAAAAAGAAGCTTAAGTTATTTATTCTGTTATAAATTGTCCTTTAATTGCAAATTATGACAGGTGTAGGAAACTGCAGCTCATCACCTGTAAAAGAAAAAAGGACAAAAAAAAATTAAAACATAACCACACGAATTGAAAAAATATTTTTAAACAAAAAGGGAAACAACTTCTTGCAACTCAATTGTGTAATTTAAACTTTATTTATCTTTACTTTGCAAAGCAATGGTGGCAATTTTGCCTCTCCTTAAATGGCTACTCGACGTGCAATGCCGAGGGGCTGACGTCAACAAAGCAGTAAATAGTAAAAACAAAAGAAATAATCCGAGGAAGTGCGTAAAAACAGCCATGGACAGGCTTTAACAGTTTAAAGGGCAGGCCCGTCGTCTACATTGGGCTCTGCCCGGAGGTCGGCTCCTATTTTCCTCTTCCTGGCTGGCGGAAGACAGGGTTATTATCGTGTAAAAACCGCCCTCAGCGACGCGCTTTATTATTATTTCTGCACTTGACCGCTGTCATTTAAATTACACAAAGCAATGCGCGTCTGGCTTTTCCTAAACGCTGCCTGCCTATTGCTTTTTCTTCTTCTTTTTTATTTACACCCTAACGCACCAAAATGGTTTACATACCGCAGAGACAGCAGAGAGGGAGAGTTGGACTGCCTGGACCGCAAATAATCGCTCCAGTGAGACCTGTATTGGTTTCCCTGCTCGGTAAATATAGACGGCTGCTTGGTTCAATCTCCTCCAGGCTGTAACGCATGGGCATGATACCAGCACGGACAAGCAGAGGTTCGGGCACCGCCGCTTTCCCAGCCCCGCTACCGTTTAAAGCCTTTCTGGAGCACGACGCTGAGTTGAAATGTAAATCCCTATTATGTCAATCTATTGAGGGCTGCCCCGTTCTCCCGAACAGCAGACGAACGCAGCCCAAGGTCTCAGCGCTGGGCCGACAGCTCGCTTAAGAGCGAAAACCCGGAGTGGATCAGACTCAGACAGGCGCCAGAAGGCAGGGCTCACTCCAATAACGTCACTACGGAAGAGGATTAGGGCCACTGAAAAAAAAGAAAAGTTAACTCATTTTTTAATTTTATTTTAGTATAATATGAGAAAAAAAAAGTCAGAATCCTGACTTTCATCTCAGTATTCTGACTTTTTTCTCATAATTCTTACTTTAATCTCATAACTCTGACTTTTTTCTCAGAATTTTGACTTTAATCTCAGAATTCTGACATTTATCTCAGAATTCTGACTTTAATCTCAGAATTCTGACTTTTTCTCGGAATTCTGACTTTTTTCTCAGAATTTTGACTTTTCCCCCTTAATTCTTACTTTAATCTCAGCATTCTGACATTAATCTCATAATTCTGACTTTTTTCTCATAATTCTTACTTTAATCTCAGAATTCTGACTTTTTTTCTCAGAATTCTGACTTTAATCTCAGTACCTCAGACTTTTTTTTCTCAGTATTCTGAATTTAATCTGAATTCTTACAGCTAACAAACATGTTAGCATCAAGCCGTAGCCATGTCTGTTTTAGAGACTGACAGCTAACAAACATGTTAGCATCAAGCCGTAGCCATGTCTGTTTTAAAGACTAAACTAGCTTGCTTGTTTTAATCACCTTCTGCTCTTCCACTAATGAAATAGTATCACTGGGCACCCCTTGAGCATGTAAAAAGTCGCCTAATTCCGTCATTTTCCACCATTGTGTTACTGTTCCTCCCAAACAACTCACATCTTTGTCAGTGATGCTGAGTGCTCCCACATCTCTTCCTTCATGGTGCCCATCTACATTATGTAAGATCCTGAATTCTGATATTAAAGTCAGAATTGTGAGGAAAAAAGTCAGAATGTTGAGATTAAAGTCAGGATTCTGATTTTTTTTTCTCATATTATACTGAAATAAAATTTTGAAAACAGTTAACTTTTAAAAATGTTTTAGTGGCCCTAATCCTCTTCTGTACGCTACAAAGGTTTATTTTGTTTTTGTTTTTTCCCCTTTAATCTCGCTTTGTGGCGTATGTCCTTTTATGCTCCTTAAAAATGAACGTTTTAAAAATAACCTTTTCTTTTCATCACATCAGTTGTCGCTAAATGGAGGGAAGTTTGTAGTAAAAAAAAAAAAAACACAAATGTTATGAGTATGTCCCAGAAAAAAATAAAAACAAACCACTGGAGTTTGTTTTCCAAGTTTGAAGACTTTTCGCTTCCCATCAAGTCTTCATACTTTAAAAACAAAGTCCAGTGGTTTATTTTTAACTTTTTTTTATGAATATGAACTGGAGGACTCTTTACCAGTTATTTAGTATGAGTATCAATCTACCCATCAATCTTCCCTGTCCCTGCTGGAGAAAAGCAGGCCAGAATCATGAAGCTGCCACCAACATGTCTGACAGGGGGGATGGTGTGTTCAGGGTGATGAGCTGTGTTGCTTTACATGAAACTTAAATTTTTGCATTGTTACCAAATGTTCAGCTTTGATTTCATCTGACCAGGTCACCTTCTTCCACATGTTCGCATTGCCTCCCAGGAAGCTTTTTGCAAATTTTAAACAAGACTTTTTATGGATATCTTTAAGAAATAGTTTTCTTCCATGAAGGCCAGGTTTGTGCAGTATTCTGTACAACTGAATGGTGTCCTATGACAGAGTCTCCCACCTCAGTTGTAGCTCTCTGCAGTTCATCCACAGTGATCATAGGCCTGCATCTCTGATCATGAGCTAAAAATTTAGAGGGATAGTCGGGTTTTTGTAGATTTGCAGTGGTCTGATACTCCTTCCATTTCAATATTAACGCATGCACATTTCTCCTTGGGATGTTTAAATCTTGGGAAATCTTTTTGTATCCAAATTTAGAAGCTTTAAACTTCTCCACAACAGTATCTCTGGAATGCCTGGTGTGTTCCTTATTCTTCATGATGCCCTCTGCACTTTAAACAGACCTCTGAGACTATCCCAGAGCAGGTGCATTTATACGGAGACCTGATTACACAAACATGGATTCTATTTATAATCATTTAGGTCAACATTGGATCACTCAGAGATCCCACTTTTAGAAAACTTGTTAAAAATCAACATTTTACTTTACAAAAATATAATTTAGTCAGTTTTTATTTATTATTGCATGTTTTCCTTTTTCTATTTGAATTATTAGTGTGAAATTAACATTTTCTTTAATGGCAGGGCATGTACATTTTCAAGCACAACTGTAAATATTACATACCAATAGAAATGTTGCATTTCTCCCAGCAACAAAGAGCAAAACCATGTTGTTTGTCTTTGGTAAATGTCCTATGAAATAAATACAGAAATATTTAATGCAAATATTAAAAATATTAAATATGAATACAATATATTATATTAATAATATATAGAAATGTGGCTATTCAGCTATATGTTTATAAAATAAAACATGTATTTATAAATGCATTTATTTTATAGATATTATTACAATGTAGTTCCAAGGCATCACATTGTTCTTTTTCAAATTATTTGGCATTAATTTTTTCATATACTAATCTTTAGTTAAGGACTTGTTTTTTGGGGTTTTTTGACCCTGGATATGTTCACCATTGTATTTTAAAATGAGTGTTGGTTAGTAAAATAAAAATTGTTATCTTATATGGGTTTACATAAAATGAAAATTAGTAAATCATAATTGTAATGTCCCTACATCAAAATACATCAATCTTTAAAAGTGTTTTCAACGATTTCAGGTTATTTATCTAAGTAGAGAGCCCCTTATCTCAAGTCCCTCCCGTTTGTTACGTCATTTTACTGCGACTGTTTTTGTTCAGCGGTCGAAGGGCACCGATGTTATAACTTCTTGTACACACAGCCGCTTTTCCTTTTTTCTCCGCATTTCTGTCTCGTATTTAACCTCCAAAGTAATCGACTGAACCCCTTCAGCAGCTCCTAGCGGTTTTTGTTTCTTATCTCATTTCACCAGCCGGAAATAAAGGACAGGATGGAGGAAAAGGTTGGAGAAGGTGTAGCTTGTAGTCGCTGAAAACGACCCCTCTACTTCACCGTTAAGTCTCAGTCTCAGAGGTTAAATTAGTTTGTAAGTATCCCTCTATAGCAGACATCGGGAACTTTGTTAGCTAAAGCTCAGTTTGAGTGTGGACCTGATTCTTATTCATAGATTAAACATTTCTAGAGGATCTAGTTTCCCCTCCAGATTCCAGTTGGTTCTCTGTAAGTTGGAACATTCTCTTGCGGCCGCCATTAGTCGATAAAATAAGGAATGTGAAAAGATTTTTGCCTATCTAGATCCAGCAGCTCATAGTCTCACGCTATTTTTGCGCAGCTTCTAAGGCATGGATGTGTCAGATCGCTAAGCAGAGAAGATGACATCGGAGGCTTCTGTCTCTACAACCTCCCCTACAAGCAGCACCCCAGCTAAAATAGACTACTACTGGCTTCGCTCCTTTGTAGCAGGAGGTAAGATCTGATGCATCAAGTAGTGAAACATTTTCAGGAAGGGTTGAGTTAAATTCATGGTTTAGTTATTATTAATACATCACTTCCTATCTTGATACTCCAATTATTTTTAGCATTATTGTCCTAAAGTCTAATAATTTCCTGGGTCTTTCTGTGTGGAGTTTGCAGGTTCTCTGGTGACCCGTCCAGGGTACCTTGGTGTTTTTTTTCTCTGAAAATATGTAGACACACAGAGCGGTGATGTTTGATGGCTAACTCCATCCATCCATTATCTGACACGCTTGTCCCAATTGGGGTAGCGAGGGGTGCTGGTGTCTATCCCCAGCTTTCTACGGGCGAGAGGCGGGCTACACCCTGGACAGGTCGCCAGTCCATCGCAGGGCAACACAGAGACAAACAGGACGAACAACCATTCACACACACACCTAAGAAGAATCCAGAGAAGCCAATTAACCTAACAGTCATGTTTTTGGACTGTGGGAAGAAGCCGGAGTACCCAGAGAGAACCCACGCATGCTCAGGGAAAACATGCAAACATGATGGCTAACTCCTAAACATAAACTTTAGACATGGACCTGAATAAGATTCACATCACTGAAATATCTCAGTATTTGGATCAAACGACATAGAATATTTGTTCATCCTTTTGTAATCCACTAGAAATGCGTGTCCCAATTTGATCATTTTACAGCTTTTACACAAGATTTCTTCCTATTAGCAACAGGATAATAGGGCATTTAAGCTGGTTTTAAACTAGCTTGGTGTGCATGGGACTCTTGAAAACATTTTTTCCTCTTCTTTTACATTTTACATTTGTTGTTTTAATTTTCCTGCACAGCGTTTTGGGGTAGATAACTTCAAACAACCCTGTGTAGATAATGATGGTTAACTGAACATTAGAACATTGATCCTGCTCAACTTTAGAGGTGGTCAGCAGCACCAAATTCCTGGGGCTGCACATCACAGACAACCTTACCTGGACTGTAAACACCACCTCACTGGTCAAAAGGGCACAGAACCGCATGTGCTTCCTGAGGAGGATGGTGAGAGTCCACCTGCCCCACCTATCCTCACCACCTTCTACAGAAGCACCATAGAGAGCGTTCTGACCAGCTGTCTCACTGTGTGGTGTGGAGGCTGGAGCGTCGCAGACTGGAAGAAGGTGAGAAGATTAGTGAGAACTGAAGAGAGGATTATCGGGGCTCCTTTTCCCTACATAAAAGACATTTTATCCCAGCGCTGCTTGTCCCGAGCCCGTAACATCATCAATGACCCCTCAAACCCCCACCATGGACTGTTCTCCCTGCTGCCCTCTGGGAAGAGGCTTTGCAACATTCAATGCAAGACCAGCAGATTCCGAAACAATTTCTTCCCCATCGCCAACAAACAGCTAAATGTTGAAAAACCTCTAAATCATGTCACAGACTCTGCATCAAATTGACCATATCAATGCATTTTTTTCTCCCACACTGTTTACATTTGATCCCTGCTGCACTTTAAGAAAATGGAAATGTTAGAGAGCTGTACAAAATGAAATTTTGTTTTGTATAAACTCTGTGTATACAAAACAACAAAGTTTGTCTAAGTCTATGTAGTTTCTCAGGTGCAAAACTCAGAACAGTCCAACTTCCAGTGGAAAGGGAGTATTTGTGTGTAAGGACTAGTTTACATTTCAGTTTCCTGCTGCACATCTTATGATGTAAATTGTATTTTTATGCATGAAGCCCAACCTTCTGTTTGCGTGTCCAGGTATGAGGATTATTTTTTTTTTTTATGTGTAGGTGTAGCAGGATGCTGTGCCAAGACTACTATCGCCCCCCTGGACAGAGTCAAGATTCTTCTTCAGGGCCAGAGCCCCCATTACAAACATCTGGGTAAAATACCTGCTGCCAAGCAAATGAGAAACTCCAGCAGGTCTTTGTTTTCCATAGGACTGAATCCTGTGAACTTTTTCTGTAGGGGTGTTCTCAACTTTGACTGCCGTGCCTAAGAAGGAAGGCATCCTGGGCCTGTATAAGGGCAATGGAGCAATGATGGTCAGAATATTTCCTTATGGAGCCATTCAGTTCATGGCCTTTGACAAATACAAAAAGGTACAGTGAGTATTCCATCATGAAATAACTTCTTTAATGTATCCCTGCATTATATAATTGGTAATAATCTCTTCATAGCTGCTGAATACACGCATTGGGATCTCTGGACACATTCATCGCCTCATGGCAGGATCTATGGCAGGTACTGATAAGATATGCCTTCTCATCGATGTGTCCCATGCTTTACTGGCACAAAGAAGCAATCACACTGCTGTCTTTATTGCCTTAGAGGTAGTTTGGTCCCAGAGGACTCTCATAAATGTTTCTTATGTGCTCCAGGTATGACTGCGGTGATATGCACCTACCCTCTGGATGTGGTCCGTGCCCGGCTGGCCTTCCAGGTGAAGGGACATCATCACTACTCTGGAATTGTGGATGTTTTTCGCTCCATTTATCGAAAGGTGATTTACTGTTGGGAAACTTTACGAACGTACCCCTCGTCAAATCTGTTTTTAACCTTTTAAATTTTGCTCCAAAGGAGGGTGCGTCTGGCTTTTACAGGGGCCTCACTCCAACCCTAATTGGAATGGCGCCTTATGCAGGTAACTTTTGAGGCATTTATGTTGTTATTCAATGCTTCATGTTTAGTCAGTCTCTTATTTCTGGCTGCATCCTCCCAGGTCTCTCTTTCTTCACCTTTGGTACCTTGAAGAGTCTGGGCTTAAAGAATTTCCCTGAGCAGCTGGGACGTCCGTCATCAGACAACCCGGATGTGCTTGTTCTGAAGACCCACGTCAACCTGCTGTGTGGAGGAGCTGCTGGTGCCTTTGCTCAGACTGTATCGTAAGTGCTGTCTTCACAGACCTGTTAGGTTTTTCAAGTTTATTTTAGAATGCTGTTTAGTAACTATTGCCGTCTGTGTAATATTGGTATTTTGCTCACTATAGCTACCCCTTGGATGTGGCAAGGAGAAGGATGCAACTAGGGACTGCGCTTCCTGACTCGGATCAATGTGGGTGAGTATCGCTTCAGATCCGACTTGTCGTGTTTTGTTTTCACAGGGAGACTTTATCACAGTAGTGATGGTTTAACGTTTCACGTTTACTTTTTTAAAGCAAAATATTACCCTTAAGTTCTTCTCATGTATGTTCATGTTTATGCCCCAAAATGTAATGTGTATCATCAGAATTGTATTCAGTGGATGCGCTCAGTGTTTTAAGCTACATTTTACAAATACAAACTTGCCTTTTCTTTAGTATTTAGCCTTGTTTTTTGTTTTGTTTTTTACCTCTTTTTAAAACCAACCACCATCAGAGATCATTTAATCAGTCATTATAATCTCAGTCTAAATACCAAGCTGCTCCCTGAATGCATCAGAGATTTGTTAGAGAACATTAGTAAGCAAACATGGAGACCAAGAAACAAAGTAGGCAGGTCAAGGAAAGGAAAATTTGATCATATTTAAAGTGGGGTTAGAATATTAAGTAGTATCTGAAACTATGAGCATATATCAGTTAACAATTTATAAGCAATCATGCAAAATGCAAAAATAAAAAAAGCTTGATTTAATTGGAAAGCTACTCAAAGATGAACAGATCGAAGAAAGGAGGGCATCAATCAGAAAATCAGCTTATCAGCCCATTGGAACTCAGGAGGAGCCATGGATATCTACATCTCTTTTGAATGAATATGTTAAAAGGACGACCCTGATAAACCCCACAAATTTGACGGAAGATGATAATTGTTGAAGAACGCAGTTCAATTCCAATGGATGCTCTTTTTCAGCGTGGCTAGATAATGACATGGCAGCCATAAATGAAAACCGGTTAGAATACATAAAGTTTTTATTTGTCAGAAATGTAAAAACTTTTCCACCTTTCAATTGTGGATTACTGCATGTTAATGCTGCACAATATCACCGTGCCAATATGTAGTAACACATTTGTTTAAAAACAGAAAGAATTAGTAGGTAAGGTTGTAGTTTCTAAACCAATACAGAACAAATAAGCAGCTTTTTCTAATGAAACCTTGTTGCTGAGACAGAACTTTTACTACTTTGTAAGTAGTTCTATAGATAACTGATTATCCAGAATCTATTTTAGAACTTGGTTTGCTTGTTTATTTATCTAAATTGAATCCTCATAAATCCACTAATTTAATCATTTTAAGATTTCCTGTTTTCCTGCAGGCTTACTTTGTGTTGGTTCATCGTATAAAATCAAATACAATTTTGGATCGTAACGCATGAAAACGTTCAAGTCGTGTGAATACTTCAGCTGGCACCATATCCTAAAGGTTTAGGAAACAAGCTCAGGAATTAATAAAAAAATATATTTACCTTAATAAAACCCCCAAAACATAATGCAATACTATTCAAAAACACAACTTACTGCTCCAGCTTTCCTTTCTCTTCCATCTTATATCCATATCAGTTGGATTATAGTTGTTTTTTAATAAGTGGGGATGGAGTTCAATCTCTACATGGACAGATTCCATGTAGATAAGGAATATATTTCAAGGACTGTAAATTGTGTTCTGAATATACTAAATAGTTTCTCTCAAACCACAAATGAACTTGTCTTCTGTTTGTAATTCAGTGTCATTTAAAACTAGTTTAAGATAATCATAATCTATTTCTTGCATTTGCACAGATCACCTATGAAGACCCTGAAGTATGTGTATGAGAAATATGGGATCAAGAGAGGATTATACAGAGGCCTTTCTCTCAATTATATCCGCTGTGTGCCCTCCCAGGCCATGGCCTTCACCACCTATGAGTTCATGAAGCAGGTTCTCCACCTGAACTAGTGTGAGCGACGGTGCTCCTGACCCCTGATTAACCTCATTCCATTGGGGAATCACTCTGTACGTCTTAGACTCCTATCATACCCTAAAAAAACCAGAGCAGTCTTTTAACAAAAAATGGAAAAATGGAAATCGAACAAATGGGAGCCTCTTACTCCTTCTCATCTGCATCGTCAAGGAAAACGTCTTTGTTTGTAGAACTTTCTCATGATTTCTTGATCGGGGGTGCCAGCAGAAACAATCCTGCATTGATAATTTTCACGCAATTTCATGTAATCGGAAGCTTACAACAAAAACGTTTTTTTTTTTTTTTTGTACTGTGTTGAATTAAAGAATTTGCTTTTGTTCTTTAAATTGTGGGGAATATTTGTCATTTACATTTTGCAGCTACACATTTTTATTTGCACGATATAAAAAAAAAAAAAGAAAAACTTTAGCTGTTGCTAAACGGTAACGTTCAATTTTTCTTTTTGCATCCAGGACTTAGTGTTTTGATTTTGCAATGCAGTAAACAGTTTTTTTTTTTTTTTTTGCTTTCTCGGTGCAAATACTTTGTGCGTGTCACAAGATATCTCAGAGCAGCCTTCCGTTTCATTTACAGGTCTTAAGTAACGTTTTTGTCTCTGTTTTTTAAATCCTGCTTAACATGTTTTTTTTATGTTGCTTTTTATGTGCATTTAACTTAAAGACTGAGTCTGTACCTTTGATGATGCTGCCAGATGTACGATCATATTTGGATATATTACTTGTTAGTATGACATGTTTATTAGACTGAACTCAGGTTTTAATTGCACTGAATCTTTTTATTTATTACTTTAGCCACATATTGCCACTGGGTGGCAGTATTGATACACAATGTTAGTGCTTTTTCAGCCTTGCACACTACAAACCTCTCCTCACCATTATATGCCTGTTTGGGCCTGATCAGACAAAACTAAAGGAAACAAATTATTCTTGGCTTTTTGCATTGACTTTACTTAATACATTTACTATTGGATTTCAAATTCAAATAAAAGGATTTAAACCGATTTTTTTTTTTTAAATTATCCTTTGATTTATAATGTTTGCTCTGTTCTCAGAGAAAAAGTATTCCCCAGCTGGGTGAACAAATTGAGATAAACAGGATAAAAGCTCATAGTTGAGAGCAGATGTTTTTTAACTGAGGTCATTTCCTCATTTCCTTTACTGTTTTTTTTTTTTCTCTCCTTTTGCCCATAATGTGGGCTTTGTATAATATAAACCAAATCTCTCAATCATGAAAATTAGGTTTTTGATCCATTTCTAAAGGTGTTGCCTATGTAGTAACATCATCTGGTTGTAAAATACAGTCTACACTACAGCTTAAAAACTCTATTCAGCAGTTTGAAATGTACAGTGTTGCCAGTAAAATGCCTTACAAAGATACAATAAAGGGTTTTCTGTTCTGTTTTTCTATTCTACTTATACCCCTTTATTTTTCCACACATACTGCTACACCACTCAATACAAACTTATATATTTAAATTAAAGTTTATGTCACAAACCAACCAACAGTTTATTACGGTGAAGTACCTGAAAATGGAAACATAGTTTTAGAATAGAAATGGAGAAAGTACATAATGCATATGTATTCGGCTTGATTCCTCTCATTAGGATGCCTCTATATAAAATACAGCTAAGAAGGAAAGGAAAGCATTGATCCCAAAAAATGTCCCATTTTACCTCTGAAGGTGCTGCTCAGATTCACAGCTCAGGTAGGGGAGGTTGTTGACGAGGTCGTTGATTGGTCTATGTGCTGAAAAAGAAGCACATACGTCAATTCATCAATGTGCTTCATGGGTTTGTACAGGGAAGCTAAGCTGATAGGAAGAGGTCCGAAGTGAAACACTGGCCATCTCCAGAAGAAAACATTCTTTATACTTTAGGGGGAAACTAAGATGGAGGCTCAAACACTACAATGAGTAACTTGAAACAAACATCCAGGTCTACACTGAAATACTTCTATGAAAACAGTAGCTATGTTCTAATGGCCTGATCAAGGTATAGATAGATAGATAGATAGATAGATAGATAGATAGATAGATAGATAGATAGATAGATAGATAGATAGATAGATAGATAGATAGATAGAGCAGAGGGCTGTTTCATAAAACTGGTTTAGTGTTTAAGTCAGACTCAGTTGGTCAAGTCTGGCTTATTTTTTTGCAATTGACCCTGTTAACTTAACCTGGTCTGGAAGACGTTTAGAGCCAACTAAGTTCAAACTGTGTCCTCCTTGTTAAATCCAGCATCAGGCATTACATTAAGTGACAGAAAGGGTGTCAGGTCTATATTTGGCCCAAACACATGCCATTTCTTCACTGATTAATATGACCTCTTTGTCTTACTTTAAATGCATGAATGTTACCAATTTCTAGAGAAGGGATCATTTCCTAAACCAACTGAATTGGACCTCAGCTCTCCCACAGAAAAGCTCCAATCCTGCCTTAACTGTTACCCTCACACACTACAGAGGTCTGCACATTTTTGCAACCCAGGTTTTGTAACATGGCATTTTTTTTTTTTATTTACATTTATTTTGTGGTGGCAATAAAGGCATTATGAATATATGAATATGGTTCTTAGATCATGAAAATATGGTCCAGATTTCCACTGCCTGAATCTTTAGTTGCTTTGTTTAAAATATTCTCAAAATGGATACGGGTTAATATATTTAATTTAGATATATTTCTGGAAACAATGTGTGTGATGAAAAACATATGCATTTAATCTCTAAGCAATGGCCAGCCATCCCCTTTAGCTGTTTTAATTTATGGTAACTGCTTTTTTTTCTATCAATCGAAGACATTATGTGAGCAAAAACACTGGCTAGTTTGCCCTGTCTTGAATTAGTGACAATAGGCCACAAAGGTGTCCTTAAGGTGAAACCTAATGTTTGATGAGATACCCTTCAGGGCTTGACATTTATTTTCAACAAATTCTGCTCTTTAATTAATTATACCAAATATTGAAAAGCATATCACTTTTTCCTGTTGTTTACTTGTAATACAAAAAAGTAATTGTAATCCACTTGTCATTGTCATTTCACTACATAATGTATTTTTACCACGTTATACCTCCATTGATGCTACAATTCAATTTAGATTTTATTAATCATACATTTGATATAAAGGAGATCATTACATCTTTGTATTTCATCATTGAAAATTAATTTCCATATATATATATATATATATATATATATATATATATATATATATATATATATATATATATATATATNATATATATATATATATATATATGTGTGTGTGTGTATATGACTATATATATGTATATACACATATATGTATAAATATACAGGGGTTGGACAATGAAACTGAAACGCCTCTCATTTTAGTGTGGGAGGTTTCATGGCTAAATTGGACCAGCCTGGTGGCCAGTCTTCATTAATTGCACATTGAACCAATAAGAGCAAAGCGTGAAGGTCCAATTAGCAGGGATGGAGCACAGTTTTGCTCAAAACACAACATTATGGGTGACATACCAGAGTCCAAAAGAGGACAAATTGTTGGTGCATGTCTTGCTGGCGCATCTGTGACCAAGACAGCAAGTCTTTGTGACGTATCAAGAGCCCCGGTATACAGGGTAATGTCAGCATACCACCAAGAAGGACGAACCACATCCAACAGGATTAACTGTGGATGCAAGAGGAAGCTGTCTGAAAGGGATGTTCGGGTGCTAACCCGGATTGTATCCAAAAAACATAAAACCACGGTTGTCCAAATCACGTGTTGTGGGAAAATTTATATCTTTCTCTCATTATATATTAATATTCATATTTACTCACTATAAAAGTTTTCACTTAGTCTGTTTCTCTCTCAAGGCCACACCATTCCCTGCAGAATGTTGTTTGTAGACCAGACATAGCTTCTTCCCATAACAATCCAGATTCTTTCTCAAGGTTTATTCATAACATGTTACTGTTAAGCAAAGTGTGTGTAATTTGTTATGACTCTGACTGCTTTCGATTGTTGTAACTAGGGGGGAACGAACCCTGCCCAGATCAGAACAGAGCAGAATGCTGTGCCATGATGACTGTTCTCTCTTTGCAAAGATGATTTAATAAATGTGCCGACTGAGTGAAATCCATCGATCTCCGTTTATTTAACTAGGATGAATAGTTGAATACTTTTTTCCCACGACACACGGCAGAATTAAATGTGCACCTCAACTCTCCTGTTTCCACCAAAACTGTCCGTCGGGAGCTCCACATGGTCAATATACACAGCCGGGCTGCTATAGCCAAACCTTTGGTCACTTGTGCCAATGCCAAACGTCGGTTTCAATGGTGCAAGGAGCGCAAATCTTGGGCTGTGGACAATGTGAAACATGTATTGTTCTCAGATGAGTCCACCTTTACTGTTTTCCCCACATCCGGGAGAGTTACGGTGTGGAGAAGCCCCAAAAAAAGCGTACCACCCAGACTGTTGATTGCCCAGAGTGAAGCATTGGGGTGGATCAGTGATGGTTTGGGCTGCCATATCATGGCATTCCCTTGGCCCCATACTTGTGCTAGATGGGCGCGTCACTGCCAAGGACTACCGAACCATTCTGGAGGACCATGTGCATCCAATGGTTCAAACATTGTATCCTGAAGGAGGAGCCGTGTATCAAGATGACAATGCACAAATACACACAGCAAGACTGTGTTGAACATCTCCCATGGCCTGCACAGTCACCAGATCGAAATATTATTGAGCCACTTTGGGATGTTTTGGAGGAGCGAGTCAGGAGTCATGGCTTAAAATCCCTCTGACCACTGTGTAGGACTTGTAAATGTCATTCCCAAGACGAATTGATGCTGTATTGGCCCCAAAAGGAGGCCCTACACCATACTACTAAATCATTGGGGTCTAAAACCAGGTGTTTCAGTTTCATTGTCCAACCCCTGTATATACATATTTATAAATATATATATATATATATATATATATATATATATATATATATATATATATATATATACTGTATGTTTACGTTTTATGATTTCTGTGAATAAGACTTGTTACTGCATTGGTTTTCTTTCTACACCAGCTGTGTTTTGCATTGAATAAAGCATGCATATATTCATATATCTTACTGAATAATATGTATAAGTTTTAATCTGTTTGCCACTTACAGTAGGAAAAAAATTGAAAATCATACGTGTGCTGAATCAGAACATCCGATATACATTTTTGTATAAATCTACCTTATCTTCATTTCTTTTTTTTTTCTTCTTTCCTCTAACAGATGAATAACCATAAATCCTCTGTGCATCATGTCCCCCCCTGCTTGTTTTTCCATATTAGTGGGTGTTGGACACACAGAAGCCTCCTGTTAAACTTAATGTCCCTGTTTTATGATTAAAACCACGGAGGGGCTGTCTGAAATATTTGCATTTATTTTACTGGAACTGGGGTACACACTATCTCTTGTTGTTCCATGCCAGGCACTAATTTGACTGGTAAATGAATGAACATGTACACAAGACTCTTAATTTCCTCATGAGTAAAATCAAGCTAAAATAGAATATAAGTATCTTTATTTTCATCCTTAGAGAGACAAAAAAAAAAATTTTTTTAATCACACTCAGCTGTTTCTTTTATATCCACCTTTTTTTCTTGCTTTTTGCTTTCTCACTTCGTTATCATCTCCAACAAAGCTGTGTGTTTGTTGGTTTTTCCTCACTGTGCAACCTCTGCACTTTTGGCACTCTAAACTTCCTCATCTCAGCATAGCTCTGATTAGTCTAAAAAGTAATCCCCCTGTGATGGTGAGGGGACCCCGTATTTTGTTAATACACTATTCTAAGCTGGTGACATCATACTTAGATCACAGAAATAATACAAGAACCCACAGAGGGTGGAGACACTTACAGCTGGGTTCCTATGCTGATGCATCTTCCTCATTTGGCTGATTACTCACTGCTTTCACGTTTTTAGAAAAGGCAAATAGAGGAGTTTACCCAGGTGAAGGGCAGAGCTGCATTCTGGGTCAAAGCCATTTGAAAAGCTGATTCTTTTCTGCAGGTTTCTTGTTATATATTAAGACCTGCCATGCCATCTTATACAGTGACTGTTGCCACGGGGAACCAGTGGTTTGCAGGGACGGATGATTATGTCTACATCACTCTGGTGGGGACTGAGGGATGCAGCGAGAGAACACTGCTGGATAAACCCCTCTACAACGACTTTGAGAGGGGGGCGGTAAGCTGGGTTGTTTTGATCTAGGGATCATAGTGACCTTAAGATTTATTTGTCTAATGAGCACAAATTCATACTGTACATCTGAACAGACTGGTAGTTGAAAAGAGAGAAGTTGTAAAGTGGTTTATCTTGTACGGTAAACTTAATATTTGGGGAAATATTAAGTCTAAGTTCTGCTTACTTATAAAGGATAAGTTTACAAATAAAAACGAATAACTTTGAATTTATGTTTACACACTAAAGCTATCATTGCGATTTGAGCAGCTCTTGTCTAGATAAGTTTTCACAAAAAGGCTTTTTTTTTTAACATCTAGAGGGAAAAAGTGAGTAAGAGCGTATGAAATAAGTAAATGGATGTTTCATGTTAAGTGTTTCAGGAGAAACTTCATTTTAATTAAAAACTTATGCTGACAATTTTTGTCTTTGGCTTTATTGGATTTCTGAGGCAGGCAAATGCAAATATATCCTTAGACCGTTAAAAAAAGCAAAATAGTTTGACTGAATGTGGACATCTTTAATCACGTTGTTTCTAGATTGCTTCAGGTGAAGCGATGAAGTAAGGAGTTCAGCCTTGCATCACAGTAAAGGAAGTTGCACTCTATATAAAAAAGTGAAAAATATATTATGAAATTTCTTTATTGAACCTTTTTTTTAAGATACTTAAATAAAAAGGCATGATTCAAAAATGTAAATAATTATTGTATTTATTTGTGGGGAAAATCACAGTTTTAACTTTTGGAATCAAGTTATAATGATTGAATTTGTTAACCCCCTTTTTTTTTTTTTTTTTATAAAATTGAAGTCTTATCAGAGAATTAGGTTACAAATAGCCTCTCTGACAAAAGAACTCATTGCAGCAAGATCCACAAAAAAAGGTTGAAAAAAGGTGGATACATGTGAAAGTAAAATATAAGAAGAGTAAGGAATAAAACGTTTAAATGCTTTATAAATTAAGTGTTAGTTGAACAGGTAACACATTTGTAGAGTTGAATATATTATAGCTGTACTTCACAAGCAACTGTACTAAATCGGATGCCTTAGTCATTTATATACAAAACATGACTTATCTAGGTTTCATATTATTCATAATACTGTCAAATGAAATTTGATAATTTTTTTAAAATGTATTTTTCTATGTTAAAAATGCCATCATGCCAGATATTGAATGGCTTATTTAAACAGCCCCCTTTTTAACAGTTGCCACTGTTTAAACTGCAGGTGGACTCATATGACCTGAAAGTTGATGAGAACTTGGGTGATATCATGCTGGTGAAGATTGAGAAGAAGAAATATTGGATGCTGGATGACTGGTACTGCAGGTACATCACTGTCAAGACCCCACTTGGAGATTATGTGGAGTTTCCCTGCTTCCGCTGGCTGGTGGATGATAAGGAAGTGGTTCTGCGGGATGGACGAGGTATTTACTGATCCATCCACCTGAAAAAAAAGACAAAAAAAAAACTTTTTCTGCTTTATCATTTGGCTGAATCCCTCCTTTTGTTTTGTCTGCTGTAGCATTTCTGCCAGAGGATGATAAATCCAGCATAGTAAAGCAGCACAGACAAAAAGAGCTGGATCAGAGAAGAAAAACCTTCAGGCAAGTTCACTTCTCTCATGAAGTAGAAGAAGCTCAGACTTTTTTTTTTAATTAAATTATAATTTTTTATAGATGGAAGGAGTGGCAGCCAGGCTTTCCTATGAGCATAGATGCAAACAGACACAGGGACCTGCCCCGCGACATCCAGTTTGACAGCGAGAAGGGAGCAGATTTCATATTAAACTACAGTAAGGCGTACGTACAAAAACCTATTCTAAATACAGGAACAGGTTTCAGTCAAACTGATGTCAGCTGGTGTATCGCAGTATGTTAAAGAGGGTGTCTGCAGAGGTTAAACATAACATACCTCCTGGGTGTTCTGACAATGCAAGCCTTTATGAAGCCCTGATCAGATGCAGAACTGATGCCTCAGAGCATCCTCTATTTTATAAACTCAGAATTACCTTGGAAAAAAACAGAGGTGTCATTGTGTGGTTATCACAAGGGACATTTGCATTGTGCTTTGAGGCAAACATTTGAACTTGGGAAAAGGCACAATAACAAACAACCAAATAAATAAAAGGTAGTGTTATAGAAAATATTTAATCACTGCGATATCAAAAGTAGAACTACTGCTTTTCATATTTAAACGTTTGGTAAAAATGTATGTTTTTATAAGGTCATGCATTTACTCATCTTACTCACATCAAGTATTGATGTGAATAATTTGAGTTTAATATGATGTTAAACTCTAATGGATCTGTCCATTTTTTAAAGCACATTTATAACTCGCTTCAATGTCTTCAAAATATTAATATATTATGACTATTGCGGATTTTTTTTCAGAATAGAGAACCTGTGTGTGAACAGTTTCATGAACATGTTCCAGTCATCATGGAGTGACTTTGGCGACTTTGAGAAAATCTTTGTGAGAATCAAAAACACCATCTCAGGTCAGCCATATTGCTCTTTTTGCCATGCCAACTGCTAAGCTGCACTAATTTGTGCCTGTGTTAACTAGTTAAGCTAGGCTAAGTAATTTGCATCTTCTGCTACATTGATATATTTGATTATATTAGTTTCTATATTAATACGTTTCTCTATGTTTTGTGTAGCAATGCATTATTTAACACTGCATAAGGCAATGATACTGTTTTTTTCCATTGCACTGGCCTATTCTATAGACTATTAAACTAAGCTGTACTACGTATCGTATTCTATAGTATTACTAAAATCTGTTGTACCGTACTTATGTATTTTATGCTGTGTAGATCTATGTTTAAAGTCATGTCAGGGTTTATTATACATTTCATGTTGCATTACATGATGATTGTGTTATTTTAGGCCAGTGCTTCAAAACTTATTGACCAATATTTAAGTTGTGATTACACTGATACTCACTAGGGGTTGCGCTCCCCACTTTGGAAACCACAGGGCTAAGGTATTAAGGCCATTAGTCCCAGTACTATGTTAATGTGTATATGTTTATGGTGTACCTTTGTAATTACTTTATTTCATTATTTATTATGATTATATTATGAGTAGTTTCCACCAAAGTGGTCACTAATCTGCCACTTGATAAAATAAAATAAAAATACTAAAAAAAAACTAAAACTAAAAACTAAAATTTAGGACAATTTGACAAAAAGATATAATATTCATACAATTGATCTGACATCACATTTTACATATATTAACTTAAAACATTTGATTTTATATTAACTTAAAACATTTGATTTCAGAGCTCTTTTCAAAGAAGATATACTTTTTAATTCTCTAACGTTTTTAGGTAATTCATTCCATTCTTGAAATGCTGTATAGGCAACAGATTTGTGAAAGGTGTTTGTCTTAGCACAGTCTAAAATAAATGTTATTTCAGTTGAGTATCTGCTGAAATGATTATCTGATCAGAAATAATAAGCTTCTCATACAGTGTTTCAGGTCTACCTGTTCATTTGATTTTGCTTAAGATGCTAAGCAAATTATACTGAAACCTAGAATTCAACAGAGGCCACGATAAAGTATGATGCGTTTCAGCAATGCTTTTGAAAAAGGATATCTTGAACCTGCAACCTTGAAAAATCTGTTTTATTGGCAGCAGTCCATATACCGAATGGTATTCTAGGTGAGAAAGAGCTAAAGATTGCACAGCCTCTATCAAAGCTATTGTAGAAATAACCGCTAATTACATTATCAATATGATAAAAAAACAATGACAAGTGATGATCCACTGTGATACCTAGTAATTGTTTTTTTTTTACTTCCTCCAAAACATAGCTTTTCACTGTAAGGGTTAACTGTGGATTATTATACAACCACTGTCTACTTCCAGTTAACATTGATTTAATCTAAATAACATCTAGAATCATATTATCATTAGCTCATTTAACTCGGGAACCTATTTCATTTTCCAGTACAATTGAAATATCTGAGGTATTTGAATCGGAATTAAGTATTGTTAAGTTATCTGCATACATAAAAACAGAAGATTGACGTAATACAGTCAAGTCATTACAATAAACAGAGGAAAGGAGGGGGCAGAGGGAACTACCCTGAGGCAAACCACAGTGGGTCTCACACCTGTCAGACAAGAAGCAATTATGAAACACTTGATTGATTGATAGCTTTTTTGATCTCACACTGGAGAGATTTACTTGCTACATTAGCTCAATAGTCCAAAAGATGACAGTATACAGTGCATCCCCAATATATATATATATATATATATATATATATATATATATATATATATATATATATATATATATATATATATATGTATGTACGGAATTTTCTAAATTCACTCTAGTCCCAATCCAAAACTGGTATCGGAAATTGGTATGAAATCCATTTAAAACCGAATATCACATTATATCGTCTTGTATCTAAAATCTCACATGTAAGCTATCTGATGGATACACTGTTTAAAGTGTCTGTAAGCTACTGGTTAATATTAAATGAGTGAGTTGTTCTCATATCTATTGTTGTTGTCTATTGTTCTCTGTTTAAGTAATATCAATAGAAGAAGCATTTTCTAACAAATGATGCTACAAAATGAGTAATAAAGGCACATATGAGTTTTGGAGATGTTGTAATGCCTACATGATGTATTGGCACATCTCTACTCTTGGATCTTAGGTCTGCTTTCTGAACCGCTGCGCTACTTGTTACAAAATTGTCAAACAGTTTGCTTCTTGCAGCTCTTGGCTATTTTTCAAGTATGCTGTAATATTAGCAGAGCAAAAATGAATGGCGAAAATGCTAGGAAAGACTCTATAAGGAAGGGGTTTAGGAAAATATAGTCTGTCTTTTTATTTATTTGGAAAACACGGATGTTGTGCTCGTTTATTTTCCTGTAGGTGCAGTGTAGACTGAGCGGTAATTGGTTTTGGCGCCTATCTGTTTTCGTCCAGTGAACATTTGCCCCTCCTGGCCAGCCGAATGACACAGGAGTTAATACTTGTTTACATAACCAGTGTGTTTGAAAATAAGCATGTTCTAACATTTTTTCCATTACTGTATGTTATTTTACATTATATTATCAAACATTGCATCATTTTAAGCTGAAACTTGTTGTCTTTATATATGTAGAAAGCATAGTCTACTTATTTGGTATTCATGAATTTTGTTTTGAGTATTTATTATATTAACGTGAAGGACTAAACAAAAAAAAAATGCATCACCACAAAAATGTTTCATACTGTATATTTTTGTGTATACAAGCACACAGATACATGTATATATACGTGTGTGTGGTGTATATGTATGTATGGATGTGTAATTTTTGTTTTCATTTGCTTTTCAGAGTATGTGATGCAACACTGGAAAGAAGACTTCATGTTTGGATACCAGTTTTTGAATGGTTGTAATCCTGTGTTGATCAGCAAATGCACTAAACTGCCTGACAAGTTCCCTGTAACTAATGAGATGGTTTCAGTCAGCCTGGAGAGGGACCTGACCCTGGAGCAGGAAATTAAGGTTGATGTTTGTCTGTTTTTATGAATCCTTGTAACATCACTTTCCATTTCAAAGATAAAACAGCAGAAGGTCAACTTTCCTTTGACAAGGAGAACAATTGTGACTCACTTTGATCATCTAAGCTGATACGCACTTTAAAGCTTTGTTTTGGTTGCAGGCAGGCAATTTATTCATAGCGGACTATGAAATGCTAGAGGGCATAAATGCGAATACCACAGACCCAAACACGCAGCAGTACCTGGCAGCTCCAATCTGTCTGCTTTACAGGAACGTGCGGAACAAGATCATGCCTATAGCCATACAGGTACACTGAGGGTGGGCAACAGCAGGTGGGGCATTTTTCAGCCGATACATGACTGTAGCTGAACTCTGGGTTTGACTTTATCAGCTTGGCCAGGATCCAGATGAAAACCCAATCTTCCTTCCCACTGACAGTCAGCATGACTGGCTGCTGGCTAAGATCTGGGTGCGATCAGCTGACTTCCAGCACCATCAGACCATCACACACCTGCTGAGGACACATCTGATGACAGAGGTGTTTGGTATCGCCATGTACAGGCAGCTTCCGGCTGTTCACCCAGCATTTAAGGTAAACACTGGTCTCGAAGGTTGCTTTGTCAGTTGATCGAGCAATTGTTTAATTAATTTATTGCCTGTCTTTCTTTTCTCAGTTACTCATCCCACACATTCGCTTTACTATCGCCATCAATACCAAGGCCAGAGAACAGCTCATTTGTGAGTGTGGGATTTTTGACAAGGTTAGTTTCTAGATATTAAACTAAGGTAGAATAAGCACAAAACATATCTGAAAATAACAATGATTGTATGAAAAAAAAAAATTTTTTTGGTATTTTGTTTTGTCCAGATTTAAATCAAATCCCAAAGTACTACACTCAATAAAAAGAAAGGACATAAGAATGAAGCTGAAATACACAAAATAAATCAGTGTAATATAATCACTTGTAAAATAAAAAGAGGAAAAAGATTCTAAGCGAAAACATTAAAGTCCTTGGGTTAAAAAAGGGACTAAAAAATGTCAAAGTTAAAGGGACAGTGTGTAGGATTTAGCCCCATCTAGTGGTGCGCTAAATTATCTACAAATGAAAGACTGGTTCCTCTCTGTCCTCTGGGTGTGAGACGTACTACAGAAGCTGCTGAGGGACATTGTACTGTTTCTAATTGTCGGAGACACATCAACCTCTGTCACCCTTATCAAATCTGCTGAAATAAAATATTAAACACTTGGAACATGTCTCAGAAAACAAGAGGAAAGCTGGTAGGACTTCAAGGAAGAATAATTGTAGCTGATAACATCCAGTGCAGGATAACAAACAAAATATCAGCTTCTGCCAGGGACCAGAAAACATTACTGCTTTTTATATTTTTCACACCTCAAACTGTCAAGGAATTGCACCGGCTAAAACCCTAACTTGTTCTGACGGGTCATTTAAAATTTAAATTTATATACAAATCCATGAAAAATCTGCCTTTTTTCTTTTTGTTTACAAATTGTGGGTATTGTGGTGTTTATTTTTTTTCTCCATTTAGAATGTGATCCTAATACTACACTCTGACACTATATGAACACTATGGTTTCCAATGAGTATTGTGGTGAAAAGGTGAAATTGAGCATGCATGAAAGAAAGCATCAACATGATTTAATGCTAAAGGATAATATTTTTTTTTTGTTATGTGCATTATCAAGGCAAATGCAACAGGCGGGGGTGGTCATGTCCAGCTGATCCAGAAAGCCATGAAGACTCTGACCTACAGATCTCTCTGCTTCCCCGATATGATCAAGAGCCGTGGCATGGACAGCACAGAGGATCTGCCCACCTACTTCTACAGGGATGATGGCTACAAAGTGTGGGAAGCCACCAAGAGGTGGTTATAAATCAAATCAGTTTCACTTTTTAAAAGTCGAATACAAGATGTACAATAGAAATTAAACAGCTTTTCCTTCTATTTTATTCCTGGCAGTTTTGTCTCTGAGGTGATGGGTATATACTACACCAGTGATGAAAGAGTGCAGAGAGACGAGGAAATACAGGCCTTTGTCAAAGACGTATGCAGCTTTGGTATGCAGGACTTCGATCACTGCGGTAGGCACACTTTACAAACATGTTTGGAATATGCTGAAAAGATGACTAACAGAAAAGTTTCATGATCCTTTGTGTTGCAGCATCATTCAGTAGTTTATCAACAGTTCAAGGATCTTTTGCAAGCAAACCTTTTTTCTAAAAATGACTTGGTCAATTCTGTTTGTCTCTTGCTTAGAGTTTCCAAAGTCTGTGAAGACACGGGAAGAGCTGATAGAGTACCTGACTGTGGTTATATTCACTGCTTCTGCTCAGCATGCAGCAGTGAACTTCGGACAGGTAGGTCATTAAAAAAAATAAATAAAACCAAAGACAAATAGGCTATATTCTTTTTTTTTTTTCAACAATTGTGAAAACACAAAAATAGTTGAAACCAGATATCTTTATGGAAAAAATCCATAACTTTTGTATTTTTGCTCTCTAAAATCTTCTTGTTATTAAAGATACTCAAAAGGCAGTGATACCATATCTGCCTGTACAGAAAGTATTAAAAAAAAATAGCAAAGTATTATTTTATTACTCTGGCATTTACCAAATAAGAATCAGTTTAATGATCCTAACTGACAGGAAACTGTCTGATTCCTGACAGTGAGTGAAAAATGTTTGTTTCTATATAGCAGAACATGAGCAAAGATGCTCATGTTCTGCATCTTTGTGTGCAATGTGTAGTATGACTGGTGCTCCTGGATCCCCAATGCTCCATCTACCATGCGGAAACCACCTCCAAAGGAGAAAGGACAAGCAGATGTGAAACTGATCATCGAAAGCCTCCCTGATCGTGGTCGTTCCAGCTGGCACCTGGGGGCCGTGTGGGCCCTCAGCCAGTACCAGGAGAATGAGGTTTGTAAAACATACAGGCTGCCATTCAAACTGCAGAGATGAGACAGCAGAATCTTCAGACTTCTATATTGATGTGTGCCTCTGAGCTAATTAGTTTTTCTCTATGCAGCTGTATCTGGGGATGTATCCAGATGAACACTTTATAGAGAAGCCAGTGAAGGCGGCCATGGACAGGTTCAAGAAACAGCTGTCAGAGATAACCAGCTCCATCAAAAGGAGAAATGAAGGAAAGAAGCTGCCATACTACAACATGTCTCCAGACAAAATCCCAAACAGTGTTGCTGTTTGAGGAGTAAAACTCACCTCATATATATAAAATCCAGCTCTATTTTACGGCTGTCATTTAAGAATTGTAAGAAATAGAGCTTTTGGTAATCATTCAAAAGATATTCTTGATTAAGTTTTGTCTAGTTTGTGAACATTTGATTACATATCTAAGGTGAGAAATATACATTTAAAAATGGACGGTCTGCTTAATGTTTCCCTTCTGAATATAAAGTTAGGCATATTTGTGATGCTTGACACTGATTGGCATACAAAGAATCGGCCAAGCACAAGGATTCTGTTTTGATTTATTGCGGTTTATATTTTCATTTTCATCCGAGGATAAATTCAGAATACACATCTAACAGGACATTTAAAATAAGACTTTTAGATGCTGAAGATCTTGATCAGAATTTCAAAGCAATAAGCTTTGATTGAAAGTGCCGTCATGATACAACTAATCTCAGTGTTCCAGAGTGCAAAATAAGAGCTCCAACTTTTTACTTTGTAAATAATACTAATAATTTAACTATGTTTCCAATGTAACTCACGGTTTTGGGATTGTTAATTTCTTTTTTTTTTTCTGCTTTGTAGTCCTACCTAAAGAAAAAAAAAAAGTCTAATAGCATTGGGTGTATGTGCTATGGAGAGAAAACTATTGGTTGTATGTTTATTTTAATAATCCAGTTTTGTATAATGGATTTCTGCCTCCTTTTTTCTAGAGAAAAATTCAGTTTTTTTTTTTTTTTTTTACATGTGCGTCTTTGCTCTGTATAAATGTCAGAATAATATTGTTGTAAAGCCAGTGATGTTAGTTATCTAGAATGTAAGACATTCAGGGATTTCAAATGTAGGGATTGGTGGGATTTATGTTGTTCCGATTCATATTTCTCTGAAACTTTAAATGATTTGGGTTTGTGTCTCTTCTAAAGCATTTTAATTACATTTTTTCTTAATCAGTGATTTATGAATAAATTGAATCTAAACACAGTTTCATAACCTCTTTACTGACTAGGTTCATCAGACTGGTTATGTTCAAGTCTGAGATGTGCACACAGTTGAATCATAAACCAGTTCTTTCCTATTTGCACATCTCTAAGTCAGTATGTTTTGATTTTATTTAAAGATACATAAAGAAGTAGTTTCGCCATCTGACAGATCTACAATAGATGGAGTTTTGTTGACTTGAATTTAAGCTTGAAAAAAAAAAAAAAGAAGAAGAAGAATTTAGATATGAGGTATGGAAATAAGCACTATGCAATTGTATATGATGGTGGCACGTTACTGCCACCAGATGGCAGTACTCTTCAGGAAATTTAAAAACTTAAATTCTCAGTTATCTTATAATAAGGGTTAAAGTTGGATTAAAATACCAAATATTCTTAGCTGTAATTTGTCCTCATACGACATTCGAACTTAAAAAGGGACATTAACATAACAGATTGATGCAGAGATATAAAAACAAAGAAATTATCTTTCTGCTGATGTATTTTTTTTTCAAACTGGCAACAACTGATGGAACTTAAAACCTGCATAAAAAAAACAAACTCAAATCTAGTTGGCTTTACAGGAATAATCACAACACAGAAGAATGTGAAAAAGACCCAACTTAATTTTTATTTGGTTGTTCTTTTTAATTTTACATATTTGTTCAAACATTGGAAATAAACTGAAAACACATCAAGATTTCTCTTAAAAACGTACACACTTTTACCAAACTCTTTACAGTTACTATCTTAAAGCAAATTCACAGACAAAAAACACGTGGAATGATATAAGACGCGGGGAAAACAGTCATACATGTTCAAGTCCGGTCAGTAGTAAACAAATTAAGCTTTTTATGCAAGTTCAACTAGTCCCAGACATGATCTAGTTTCATGAAACAAAACACTTGGGGAAAATACAGGAGATGAGAGAAAATGTTGAGACAAAGAGTCGCATTAAGTTGAGTAAAGCTCAGATTCCTGGACGGGAGTTAGGATTAATGGACTATAAAGTTGTCAAGTGGAGATAATTTCATATTCTGGCTATTGCATGTGTATCTGATTGAACTTAAGTAAAATGTAAATAGGCTATCCAAGAGAAACATCCATTAAAACCATCAACTTCATAAAAGGAGCCAGCTCCTGGAAGGTGACAGTAAATCAAAAAAAGGCAAATTAAATGCCTAAATCTCTCGTTTCAGGGAAACTGCAGCTTCGTTCAGCCATTTTCATTTCTAGAATTTAAATGCTGTACATTTTAGCAGTAGTTGCATATTTCTAACAGAATCTAACAACTGATTTAAAAAGAGGAAAACAAAGATTAATATATGAAAGAAAAACTGTGCAAAACACAAGCAGCAAAAATATTTGCCCTTGCTTAAGCCTGAAAAAAGGGACTAGATGCAAGTTGCATAAAAACAGCTTAAAGAAGGGTTGGTTTCTATAAACAAAGTGTACACTATTTCTGATAAAAATAAATACAAACACAAAAATAAAGAATTTCATTACCTATCCAAAGGACACCCTGACCTTTAATATTACTGTAGAGAAGAATAACAAAAAAAAAACAAAAAAAAAAAAAAACGTAATTGCACTTTTTAAAACCTGTCTAATTTGCATGGAGCCTTCTGGGTATTGAAGAAGGGTAACTGTTTTTTTAAACAAACTAAACACGGGGTGATGGAGGTTCCTTTTGCCCATGCTCTCTATTCAAACACAATCCCAGATCACAAGGGCTTATAATTAAATATAATATGCATTATTACAAAAAACCCAACAACCTGTGCTTTAATTATTGCTGCTGCAGAGCACTAACACATCCTTAATGATCACAGACAGCATACTGGTATAAGGGACAGTTTAAGAAAATGTTTGTGTTGTTTGAATGGCTGTAAAGTCTTGCATTGCTTGCATTTTCCACAAATGAAAGAAATAAAGCCACGAGAAATCAACTGCTGTTTGCTTTAGATTGCTATTTAAGCTGCACACCAGCAGGTGGCGACACAATCAAATTATTCATAAAGCTCAGTTTCCATCACAGGCTGCAAACCTAAAGATGGTTTTATTGAAAAATGATTGAACTGTCAGAGTATAGAATCAACTTTATATTAAAGAGCTTGCAGTCAGATGTAATTTAGGAGGAAACAGGAACTGAGAGGTATGATGCTGGTTGTCTGGTGATAAAATAAAACAGACATGATGGAGCATGTGACACTGGAGAAGAAAACAAGCAAACCACAGTTTGTGTTTCTTTTACAGCTTGTTGATGAAATATTTAAAAGCAGGCTATTAATGGAATATAAATATCTCAACCTGCTAAGGCGAAAAATAGGCAAAAAAAAGAAGAAAATCACATTATCAACCTGTTGGTTTCTTAATCTGATCTGGCAGCAAATGTTATAGATCCTTGTCTGCGAGGAAGTGTGAGCAACAAAAAAGGAAACCGAAAACAGTAAGCTGTTCATTTCTCGAGGCCTAAATTGGTAATGTCTCATGACTAAGCAAACACATCAGCTCACATTAAAAACTACACAAGGAATATCACACTGTAAATACTGTCATTCACAAGATATTAAACCAAAAAAAAAAAAAAAAATGTAATGCTGTTATATGCCTGCAGGCTTGCATTACCTTCTCAAGACATGGAAATGATTCTTGCAATGTCAAGTTACTAGTAAAAAAAATATTTTTTTGATTTTATTTATGTTTTTAATCATTTTTAGAAAATATTACATTCTCAAAGCCTTCAGAAAGTCCATGTGTTGGGCGGTAGAGGAGTCAGATGTTAACACTTTCTGTTTCCTTAAGCAGGTTTCCCTCATTTTACCATCCCAATTTCTTTTTTTTTTTTTTCCCCATCCAAGTGAGGGTTAAGTCCGTAAGAGTATGTGCATTTAAGGAAAAAGTTTCACTGTGCTCTTCCCAATGAACAAAATACAACATTTACGTCATTCTAAATTAAAAAAAGGAAAAGAACTAAAAAAGTAGGAGAGGAGATGATTTAGAGCTTCAAAAAAAGTGCTTCAATGCATTTCCAAGGCCTGGTCACAGTCTGACTAGTGCGAAGATGGCAGTATATGGAAGGTTCAAGAGATCAGATGCACGGCAGCGTATTGATCTAACACTTCATTGTTATCATGTGTAGGTAGAAATAAACGCGTTCTAACAAGTCCAAAAAACGATGCATCAAATATGGGCTTTTAGGGATTTCCTGATCCGCTCATCTGGAGGGGAACGTGAACAGAGCATGTAGAGTGTTGAGCTCCAGGCCTTTTGTGACATTTATAAGAGTCGGTACAAACAGTTCGGTCCTGGGAGGGGAAAGGTTGAATGTGGTTGGAGTGAACAGGCGGAGTCAGAAAAGGACAGTCAAGTCTACCATCAGAGGAAGGTGAACGTCAAGCGCTACTCTTCCCTCCCACCGGTTTCTACCAGCACAAGTAGGGGGGGTTGATGAAATTTATTTTGTGTCAGACATGCAGCACCTCCATACTGTATTCTTCTGTCTCTGTGTACTGGGAGGAGTTTGTGTCTGACTGGTTGGGGGCCAGAGCCTCCTTGCTCTCCAGGCTTGGCTCCATGAGCGGGGGTTTCTCCAGCGCCAGTTTTTTACATGTGTCCGGCCGGTTCTGCACATAAATGACCCGGTTGTAGGCCTTGAGTCTCTTCCATAGATGGATGTAGACCTTGCACTGGACATACATAAAAACCAGTCCACCGGTGAAGCCGATGGCCACCACCACAAGCTTGGTCCAGAAAGGCCATTCCAGGATACCTGAGGATGAGAAAACCAGAAAAAAAGGAATCATGGGCAGGATTCAAACACAAACCATAAATAATAATGATAAAAAAAAGATGCATTATGACAGGAAAGAATGAAAAACAGATTTTGCAAATGTAATTGTAAAAGCTCTAAAAAAACAAACAAACAAAAAAAAACAACAAAACTGGGGGAACACAGAGAATAGGGTGGAATGATAAAGAATAAAAAAACAAGCAGATCAAAGCTGAATCATATAATAAAATGCTTATGTGGAGCACCTACAGAGCCCATTTCACAATTTGTCAAATTTTATATGTGACAGTTCAACTTTAAGTGGTGCATAAAACAAAGAACACTAAAATAATTTTAAAATATAAATCTGGAAAGTGTGGTCAGCTCCTTTTACATAATTTGCTCCAAATATGATCCCTTGCACACCAGTGTCCTTAAAAATCACCTAATTAGTACTGGTAAATAGAGCTATTCTTTACACATTTCAATTAGCACACTCTCAAATAAAGAACACTAATAAGAAAATATTCTGATGATCTTCTGACCACATGGTAACTAATAGGAATTAGGATAACAATGGTGTCAAAACTCGGTCCTCGGAGGCCTGTGTCCTGACACTTTCAGACACTACTGATTTACATACAAAGGTACCTACAGGGTAGAAAACACCCTGAAAACACCATCCTCATATTACAAGGTGATGGTAGTAGCGTCATTGACTGCTTTGCTAAGAAGATTGGGTAAACATCTTAGTGTGCATGGGAGGAGATGGTTCACACATAGAGCCGCATAGACTTATCACTATTACTGTATCAAAGTATACTTGAAAGGGTTTACTTTGCATTAATGAAAACATATGCATGCCATACTTTTCAGATTGCTCCAAAAAAGCATTGTATGATTTCATAATTATGCGCTTCTGTGTTTGTCTGTCACATAAAACCTGGTTAAAATACAATCAGGCATGTGGTTGTTTCTTGACAAAAAGTGAAACATGAAAAAGAGAATCGTCAGCTGTCAATCATTTTGCAGTATGCTCCCGATTATTTGTATAAATATTGGAGACAAGCCATGCAAACAGCTGATATATTTTTTCAACATTATTGCAGATCATAGTGTTTGAGCTCAATATTTATTTTCCTTTGGTTTGTAAAGTTTCAACTGAGATGAGTTCCAGTGAAGGCAGATGAATTCAAACTCATAAAACATGAATTATCTGGATGCCCAGTTTCACTCTATTTCAACAAATACCTTTCTATGGAAATATACTATTTTGGACTAAAACTTTTAAATCACTGTCTTCACACCTAATAATAATAACATATACATACACACACACCCTACTTTCAAATAAGGGCTCTAGGTTTAAAGTAATGAAGATTATTTGTTGCTGATTTTCGACATGTCAAAAATATCTTGCTGACCTCAGGGGTGGTTAATTATGCTTCAAACCTTGTTTTGTTTTAGCTTACACTTGTAGCCAAAGGATTAAAGAAAATAAAAAGGGAAAACACAAATCTTTGTCAAATTAAGACAAGATAGATTATCTGACTGTTTGGTCTCCTATAGCACAAATCAAGGCATTAAGCTTTATGACTGATTTACAAAACAATATATTTTATATAAAAAAAAATCTAAATACAAAACAACAAAAGAAAAACATTTTAATGTAAAAAACAAAATGTTGTGCATTTTATTATGAGCCTTTCTTAGTGTGAAATTATGGTTGCCAGTTTTAATTTATTTTTCAGGTTAAAATGTACCACAAAGATTTTAAATCAAAGCGTATTCTTGGACTTTGTCTGGGTCTGATAAGGAGAGATGTTGCTCATCCTGAGATTAAGACAGAAAAGGGAAGAAAGATGAGGGATAGGGGTGTAAAGTACAGCTGGAAAAGAGCTGACATAACTGACAAAAACAGGCTGACGGGAGAAAAAAACGTCAAAAGGCCAAAGTTGAAATGTTTACCTGGGATTCTTCGGGCTGCATGAATAAAGAGAGCATAAGTGTCACGCATCACAAAACACAAAAACAGATTTCAGAAATTAATATAAAACACCAAACATTACATAGGTAAAATCTTAGAATGTGGTTAATCAGGAAAATCTGTTGCTTTAATTAAAATCATGAACAAGTGTTTTAGAGTGTATAACTTGACAGACGTAACCAATCTGTCCTCAGATTTCTGAGAAAATTAAAGGGGGAAAAAAAAAGAAAAAACAGCAGCAATGGTGAGAAAATACTGTACATCACCATGGTGACTGAACCTGACAGTCCTCAGAGGCTCGGACATTTCTGATTCATCAGGTTGAGCTTAACAAACAGCCTGCTGCTCCATCTGTACACCGTCTCAGTAACACAAAACATGCCAGGGATGGAGCACTGAGTAACAGGAGCCTTACTGCCAGCCAAGGCCATAATGTCTCTGCATTAATACACCCATCTACATCCTAAATCCTGATGGTGCTGTCCGTGTAACAGAGTGCTGCTGTCTGTTTGCTCAGATGGATGTGAGAAGGAGCACATGAAAAATGTACAAGAGGTTCTAACCCACTACTTTATTGGATCAAGTTTCTAAGAACCCTAAAACCAATTTCATGCTGGACAGCTGTTCACTGCATTGGTGAGGTACAGGTTAATGGTTATGATGAAAATTATTCACATTAAAATAAAAAAATAAAGATCCAAATCATCAAAACATTCTATTAAAGGTTTTCACATAAAATCAAAGCGATGACTGAAAAATACAAAGCCCCTTTTACTACTAAATGAACTTTATTCTCACTTTTTGATATATGTTTAGCTATTTTATTATTACTTTTAATTGTGGAAGATTAGATTTTTTTCCTTTTTAATTTTCCCATGCTAAGCTAAGTGGGAGATAATCTAAATAATCGAAAAACACAGATTTTCACATCAAAGGTATTCTTTTAATATAAAATTGTCTACTGTTTTAGAATGGATTTGCTATGCAGCTCAAATAACATGTAAAAGCTTCTGAACAAACCTCTGTAGCCTATTTGATAATAGTTTAAAAAATAATTAAGTCACTTATATTTCTTTTTGATATATCCCTCCCTAGTAAATAAAAAAGATGAAAGTCTTTTTACTTATCAGCTAACTACAGATGTGTTTAAAATTAAGTTTTAGAGAAAATTATTTGTAGCATCCTTTGTCTGTTAACATAATTCTAAAGTTAGGATTGAAAATACAGCAAGTTAACTTGTTTTACAAGACTAATATCCACAAACTCTGACCTTTTAAAAGTTCCTTTTAGGATTTGCCATATGCATTAAGCTGAACTGATAGAGATGGTCAAGAAGAATGTTTTCTTGAGTTTTAATAAAACATACAAACTTTAATACACACATAAGGTTAATAAAAATTAAGTTAAGTAGTCAGTTCATTCTTTCTTTTTGTAATTTCATGTATTTTATTCTAAACTAACTTGCAGCTTACAGAAGTATCAACAATGATCTTGACATTCTCCCTTAAAGTACTATCTATATTTTAAATTTCAGGTTTCTTAAGAAAACTGTAGCCTGTTTTTGTTATAATAAGACTATACTCTAAAAATATTAACCTACAAAGCTTCCTGAAAATCGTTCGATTTGTTATAAGAAAACATTTCTTTAAAACACATTTGAATGTGTTTAATGGAGCAATCACAAATTAATATTTGAAAAAAAAGTTGAAAATAGTGATGTTAGGAACTGAAGGCATCTTTTTGGATGGAATATGGTAGGAATGTTTGTCTTTTTGTTTTTAACATATTGGTATCAGTCCGAAAAGCCAAACCGACTAACAACCAGTATATATTTCAATCTATTCTCTGTTTTGTTTTTAAATTATTTTAAAAGGGGGAGGTTTGTCAGACTGGGGCTGCAGCTGGATTGGCGGAAGAGAAAGGTGTCACACATCTTGTTTTTGGTCTACAGTGCTCAACACTTCGACCTAGTGAAGAAACAAGGCTTATTGCTCCTTTAAATACTTCATTTTTTGTCCTTCTGGGTATCTTTTGCCCTATTCCATTCCTTCCTTTCACACCCTCGAAATGAAGATGCCTACAAACAAACATGCTTACAAACAAAGAGACTAAATCGACCAAAAGCTCAGTGGATAAATGTATGTTTTTTTATAAAGTACTTTTTCTCCATGACTTTTGGAATGAAATGTAGAAAAATTGGTTACGCAATTGTTCTGTTAAGCCTCTGCAAATATATTACAAATATCTCTAACAACAAGAAAGGTATACATGTCATTTGTAGTTCTGTAAATGCATAAATTAATGACCTGTAAAGGACAGAAAATAGCAGTTCAATGGCACCAACCACAGTACATGGTGCACAAACACTCAGATTATGGTATGTTGTGTGGTATTACTGTGTTTGTAATGTGTGTATCTTGACTCTGCTGACCATTTTTTATTTCATCTGCTGTTCTGTCGATGAGGACGTAGAGGGACCAGACCACGCAGGTGATTGCAATGACGTGGAAGGTAACTGAGCACATGATCTTCCTTCTCTCGCTCGCGGTCATCTGTAGTTTCTCCCACTGCGGCAGATGGAAAATTACATTCAGACAGAAAGCAGATGTTTCTTTATTTTAATTGGGCATTTATGTTGGGTACTTTTAGCAGAGAAATACAAACATATAGCATTCGGCCTGCTTAGATAAAGAGGGTTGCTACACAGTGTTTCTTGGCAGAAAAAGCTGCAACCTGACACAATGGAGATAATCCAGGTGTTTGCCAAACAGCACTATTAACAATGCTGGAAAACAGCCCAGCAAACTTTAAAAAAAAATTATTTCCATCATATTACTACTATAAATAAGCAGTCTTCTCTTTTTGTAAAAATCCAAATCAGTAATTCCTATCATGAAATTGCCAAGCTGAAGGGTAGATCTCATTAAAAGCGTGCACAGCATGTCCTAAAACCAAGCTTTGAAAAATACCTCTTACTTTGACCATCTCTGTTTCATCTTAGTATTTTCTGCACACTCATGTGTGAAAAATGTCTAGATTCACCCATGGAACTGAGAAGCTATTAAGAGGGCACCATTTGTTTAAGGTCTTTTGTGCAGCTAATGAGGGGTGGAAGAATTTTAATTAGAGTGTCCAGCTACCTTCAGGCCACAGCAATTGATAACAACCTTTAAAGAATGTATGCTTCATCTAAAGCGTTTCAAATTAATCACCCCGCCCTCTCATAATGCACCCCGTTTCAAAGCTCACAGTCATGGTCATGTTATCTGTGTGACAGATTGGATGCAGTTTTTCAGCTTCATGGGATGTTAAATGAGTAAAAACACTTGGAAAAGAGTCCAAAACTAAATCCTGAGTGCATCTAATATAGAAATAGAGTGGGTTACCGTCGGTTGCACTTTGAATCAATGTAAATAAAGATGTACCTTGCGCAGTGGTTTGAGCTTCGTTTCCATGATGAACTCATATTTGCACAGCTCACAGCAGCGGGTGTCTGAGCTCTTGATCCACTGCTGCAGACAGCTCTGGTGGACGAAGCGCAGGCTCCCTGTGCAGTGGCACGGTGTGATCAGAGGACTCTCATCATCTCCTTCACAGTGACAAATCCTGTTGGACACAAAGAAAATGCAGTCACCACAAGCTGGATGCAGGACAGTTCAGACACTAAGAAGGCAGTGGGGGGGAAATCTAGTAGATCTAATGCTTTCTATCAATCCATTCCTCTAATTCTTTCTATGTTTCTGGTTAAAAAGTAAATTTAACTGGATATTAGATACATATATGGGTTGACTAGCGCCCTCTCTGGATTTATATAGTAATGCAACTCTGCAACACCAGTAGTTTAATACTGCTGAGCTGGCTAAAAGAAGTCTTCCTCACTTTATCTTGCTTACAAAACATAAGACGAGTCCAGATTTTTGGAAGTATTTATGGTTTTGAAACAAAAGGAAATCAAAGGAGCTCCACGTGTCACTGCTATTAAAGAAAATGTGTTTTAGGACTGTAGTTAGCAGGTGACATGTCTGTGTAGGAGCACAAGGCAGGCCTGCTTCCTGAGCAAAAAGCCTGTTTCTTATAAATCGGGCACATTTCAACTGACCAAAGATACATTAAAGCTGTATTATGCATTACATAATACAAAACTAAACTTTTCTGATTTCAATGTACAGAAAATTATTTCAACATTATTTATGTATTTTCTGCAATAATCAGTCCAGTTAGCTATTTTTGGGTGTTTTTTGTCCATCAGAAATACCAAGCAAAAATGTGACACATCAATATAAACTTCTGTTGTGCATTTGCAGAAATACACCGCAACAAGTTAGTTTAGAAAAACTAAAATTGCCTAGAGATGTCAAAGGTGTAATGGTACCTATTCAATAAAATTTACTATACAACTTTTAAAACATATTTAGAGAGCAAATGCTGACAAAATGGACCTAATTAAAGCCATGGACACAGTTTCTGGTACAAATCGACAACAGTCACAGAGATACATTTAAATCTGGGGCAGAAGGTATATAATGATCACAAACTACTACAGCTTTAGTTTAAGACAGCATCTAAAAGCTCATAGAAGACTAAAACTGGAGCATTTGGACCGATCACATCAGCTATACCTTCACAGAGTGAAGATAAAGTAGGCAAGATCATGTTCTGGGGCAGCTCTGCTGCATCTTGGACAGGGTTGCTTACAACTGTAGAGGTGAGAATGAAATCTTAAGGCTATTGAAGTATTCTGGAAAATGTGCTGCCCACTGTCTGAAATCTGGTCTTCCTACAGTATAACCATGCAGCCTGGGGAGGACATGCTTCACCCCTAAGACAGCCATAGATAGCTTCACATAGATCCAGTCTACTGCTGGTGCTAACCCTGCTGAGTGATGTAATAGTGTCCAGTCCTTGCAAAACACAGAAGTGAACACACTCAAAACTGCATTGCGGATGGCTTTCTTTAGAAGTGGCCAGAAAAAAAAAGTGTTTGCATAAGTTTGACACTTTAAACACACTATTACCCGAGACCCAGAAATGACAGTAAGAGAAATATAGAATATTGATTTAGATAAAACTTTTATCCATTTTCATCCTTAGTAATTAAAAGGTTTCTCAATTAATGGGGTCTTTATAAGCATTAGAAACCAGGATACTACAAGTCACTACATTTATAAAATGAGGTTGAAAACAGTTGTTTTTAAACAAAAGCATTCTCCAGCATAGGTTGTTTTTTCACTTTCCTCTTTAAAACCACATCTTAAGTTGTAGTCAATACAGGTTCTATAAATTGTGACTTGGAAAAATCTGGGTATATTGGACTCAATGTTATTCAATTGACTGAAAGCATCTGAGATGTTACAGAAATTCCAGCAGATATGTTTGATTAATTTATTTAATTTTTATTTTCCTTTGCAAAAATGGGCTTTAAAAGTCCAGGAGAGAAGTTAACGCCAGGTCTAAGCAGGACCTCAGAACTACAGATATTGTTGGACTGGAATGACAGAGCTATTAAGGGATTTTTTTTTCATAATTATTATTGTTACAATTATCAAAATCAACTTATTTCTTTGACCTTTTTAGGATTTTTCATGTAAGTTTTCTAATAATCACTGTGTCTGCTGTGCAGTCATTCTGGTTCTGATCAGGAGGACTAAAGCAGCCTTATTTTTCAAGGCCAAACAGCAGTCTGCAGCTGCTAAGGAGGACATCTGGTTGCAGTGATTAGTCATGCACATTAAAGAGGTATACTTTAGTCTGTCACTTAAATGTAGTGTGTGTGCAGATGAGACTGATAAGAGATGCAGACGTCACGCACTCATCCACGAGTGAGTCGGGTCTGAAAATGCTGTAAATGTCAGTAAACCGTAAAAGTGACTGAAGAAAAAGTTGTCACGGTAGCGTGCAATCTGTCAAGCCCTCACAGATCTCAAAAGAAACAGGAGAGGTAGTTAGAAGGTGAACTAATGGAGAATAATATGGACAATTTCTCCACAGAGGCTTCATTGATAACCATCAAAAACAAAACACCCACAAGGCAAATCGGATAATTTTCCAGTTGGAAGCATGGCATTCAAACAGATCGCATTTATCCCTGAGTTAAGGACAGCATAAGAGCAGGAGAAGAAGCTCATGTTCCCACACAGAATGTGAAGTGAGTAAGCAGGATAATGACTATTTGCAGCCCTACCTCATCTGGCCAAAGAGGTATAAGATTAAAAGACTAAATGAACAAAGAAGGATAAAAATAAGTCATTTACCACAGAGGATGAATTGAAAGGAACAAGGTATTAAAGAAAGCAATAGGTGAAATTGACATCTCCAGTTGAAGCTGTTGTCTTGTGACATGAACAGATATCAGAATGTTTTTTCTCAATAAGTAGGCAGGAATAATCACAATGAAATCCCAACACCTCCACATAAAGCATATTAGCTTATGGAAAAGAGGGAAAACCTGTTTGGGTTAGAAATGCAGGCTGCCTTTTAAGATAACCACAAATTCCAGCTTTGTCTTCCAATGCAATGCGCAGCTGCATACCTGCATAATTAGCAGAACCATCTCATAAAGTCCACAGCAAAATTAACACGATTCATGCCAGCAGCAGCCCATTCTATATGCCATTTAGCAGGGGAAGTTGAACATTTGCATCATTCCAGCAGCTGCAGCGCACCTTCCGACTTTCACAGTCATCTTACGTCGTTAGAGGCGATGCCAGACTATGTCAACATGAAAATGTGAGAAGCAAAACAGAATCGGGAGATCACAAGGAATGCAAGCTGAGAGAGAAACAAGCTGGGTGAGAGTACAGTACGTCCCTGCAGAGGCATTTGCTCTCTTCATATTTGTTCCTTTTTCAGTTTCCTCATACTTTTCTCCTGAGGCATTCCTCAATTGTCTGGGCTGCAATCTCTCAACATGATGATTTAGAATCCTTCCCTCTACCTTTTCTCGCCAGTTGTTTTATAATTTGATTTTCAACCAAGAATTAAAGTTCAGTTTTATGATCAATTGAGCCTAAAACCTTTACAAATCACAGATAAAATTAAAATTTGCTACATTAATATGAGTGTATCAGGCACTACTGAGAAGCGTTAAGAAATGCTGGTAAAATAAAGGAGCATAATAGAATGGTTGACTAATCCACCTCCCCCAGATGTTCTATGTTAAGAGGCGATGATTGACGTCGACTATAACTACTACATGAACATTAGATGATGCTAATTTTACAAATATGTTATTTAATATTAATTTCATTTTTGAGAAAACGTAAGTTTTCCTCCTAATGTCTGTGTACTTGGCAGTCTCTAAGCTGCAGTGCAAGCTGCACACATAAATACAGTAACTGGTTTGCTCTCTTGCTGCAACGGTTGCAAAACAAACAAATGACTAAAGCATCTGAGGTGGGTTAAAGAAGTTTTTAAAAATGTTCTAAAGCCTGAAGTGATCTAATATATGGAAGTACTTTTAATTTAGACGAAGAAGATGAAAAGGAGGATTTGAAAGGGGAGCCTCTGCAACACAAGCACCACAGAGAGGGTGAAGCCGAAGAGGCCACACAGAGACTACTGATGAGCTGAAAGAAAATAAAGTTAAATTTACTCAACCGAGTTAGACATGATGTCCATCAATCTCATTTTTCCTCAAAATAAGAGTTAATGGAGATGTTCAGACCTACATTTAATTAACTTTGCACAGATTTACCTCTACTTTTTTGTTAAAATTGAACCACATAGGAGTTTATAATATCCCAAAAAATAACATTTTAACCAGCCAGTGCATGGATTGCTTCCGTTTTTTAACAAAATAAAAAAACGTTTTAAATGATGGAAACTGGTTGCTGAGTATTTTTTTAAGCCTCCTCCATTATATTGCATTGTGACGCTTTGTCAATAAGTGAGCTGGCTAATGATTAAAGTGGAAAAACAAGCTCTCGTGTACTTCCTCAGGTGAACTCAGGTCTAAGCTCACGCTCCAAGCCACGAGACACAGTGGCTGGCACAGAGTGTTTGTGCTCGTACATGTGTTAACAGTCAGAGGCTACACAGGCTATTTGAAGCCCATAATCTCAGTTGCTCTCTAACCTGTGCCCGCCCACATCTAAGCTCATGTTGCTTTTTTCCTTTAGTGTAATGAAATAAGAGCAGCATTAGCACAGGCCACAGCTGAGGGGGCAACGAAGACATAATTGGTATCGAACTGGGCTGAGGACTTAAATCTCTTCAGTCCAGCGAGTTGTTGCTGTATTGACAAACGGACGCTGTAACCCAGAGGAGCTCGCCGTTGAGCCTCTGGCAACTAATCTTTACTGCTGCTATGAAGGCTCATCAAGACAGTTCATGTAGTCATGGCCTGAGCCTCTATCAAATACTTTCCTGTAAGGCTGCACTCAGTCAACCTTTTGAACCAAGACATGCATTAAATAAACCTTTCATCCACTTTTTACAGCAGAAACCAGCTTTAAACGTCAGCACTATTACATTTTCAGCAACGACCTGCTGGTCTCCATATATTTCTTAACGTCCTCAGCCCTCTTTTCCACAGAACTTCAAAAATCTCAGGAAAATCAATTACATGTTCATTGAGACTTCCTCCCACCATCAATCTACCCAAGATGAAAAATTATTTTAAAAGCTGTTTGACAGCAGAAGTGTGGGGTAAGGATGTCAAGAGACCTTTACAAATCCATGTAGGGAAATTAAATGGAATGAAATGACACTATAGCCAGCTTATTGCTCCGAACACTAAAGATTATAAAGGTTTGCAAGAAGATGAGGTGAGGATGAATTTGTGTTTTCAGTAATGTAAAAACATTTTACCCTACCTGTCTTGCTGATATTTTTCAACGAATATGTGAAATGCGTGTTCCTATGATCATGACTGAGAGAACAAGATCTCAGATACAAGTGGCTAAAAGGAGTTTTCTTTGCAGGGTGCCTAGGCACTACTTTAAAGAAGTTGAGCTGTCAGCTCAGATGGGTCAAACATCTGTTTCGGATGCCCCCTGGACGACTCCCTTGTAAGGTGTTCTAGGCACGTCTAACCCGAGGAGGCCCAAGGGATGGCTCAGGACTCAGAGGAAGGACTTGGGCTTCTCCAAGAAAGGTGGAGAAGATGTCCGGGAAGGGGGAAATCGGGGGGTTTCTGCTGAGACTGTTGCCCATGGAAACCCGGTCCTAGATAAATGGAAGATGAATAGTACAAAAACTAAAGTGTGTTCTTTTTGATAGGTAGTTATTTTGGTCTTGTAACTTTTTTATGAATGCCATTTTGCCCATTATCTGTCATTAGATTGAATGTTGAATACTGATGTTTACCAAAGCAAATGAAGTCTCTGTGCCTTAAATGCCAATCTGGATTTATCTGTGGCCTCCTAGATTGGCCATTCATTTTCTTTAGGAATAATATTGATGGGCTAGGCATTCATGGGATGCTTCTCAATTCTTTTTATAATGTTTATCACCGTTTTTGCTGGATTGCCAAACCCTGAGAAAAAGCTTGGTAAACCTTTTCAGATTGATGGATGCCAAATGGTTGTGTTTCTCATCTGCTCTGAAACAACTCTAAAGGTTTAGATATTGTTGGACAACTTTTCTTTAAGAGTCTGCTTGATGCTAGAGAGTTAAGTATTATTTTTGTGGTTATGTTTGTATCATATTAAAATGATGAGCACACCATTTCAGAAGGGTAAACAAGGCAAAAATAAAAGGAAACCTGGAAGCACGGAAATAGTTATTACTGACATAGGGCAACTATATTGGGCTCCTCTAACTAAAAGCTCCACTCTGAGCAGAGCTTTGGAGGATGTACACAACTGGATTGGGCGATTACACTACAGGAGGAGGATCCCTCCACTACTGAACAGGTCTCTGGGAGAACTGCCACATTAACTGCACGATGGAGGGTTACAGGGCTGCAGACCGTCCAAACAATCACCCACCTGCAGCAGTCCCCTGATAGAGAGTAATGTGACAGAGGCCCTGATTTCTCCATCAAAGGCGACGAATGGCACTCAAGGTCCACGTCCTCATCCATATAGCACAGAGGTGCTAAAAGAGTCCCAGACACACTGTCCATTATGGGGGCTGTCAGCATCATGTTTGCCTCCTTGGAAGCTGGTTTGGGAAGCTCCACTTCAAACACACTGTCATCTCCTTGAGAGAGGAAGCCTGATTCAGTGCCTTCCAGCAGAGTACTGCAAGACTTGGCGATGTAGAGGTGAGAGGCGTAGCTTCCCAGCTCAGAGCATTGCAGGCTGGCTGATGTAGAAGATCGGGAGAAGGGAAGGAGGAGATGAAGCAAGTTGGACCCCGGTGTGGAAAGAGGCTGGACAAAACTGTTTTGATGAGAAGGAGGAGCAGGACTGGTAGGGGTGGACAACATGTATTTGTGGTTGTTAGTGAGGGAAGGGACGAGGTGGAGGCTGGTGCGGGTTGAGAGTGAAGAATCTGGGCTCTCTCTTATAGTGGTGGTGACCGGATTGCTACAGAGACACTGAGCATGCTCGGCCTTCGCATCCAGTTCTCCCTCCGAGCACGTACGATCTATGAAGTGAAGCCCCTGACAAAGGTTGTCCACACGTTGGCCCATGTCATTCAGAGACAGAGAAAACTTGAGGGAGTTTTTATGCTGGGCGCTGACAGAGGCAGGACGCAGCATGGAGAGCCAGTCTCGCTGTTTGGTGTATTTTGAGCCCCGCAGGGAGTCTGTGCAGAGGGTGGTTACTGAAAGACCCTTGGAGGTTTTACGGTTGGAGTTCAGCAGAACCACTGCAGTCTGTTTCTGAGTCTCCTGATCCTGACTGCTGTTGTGTAGATGTTTATGTATGCGTGTGTTCGTGTTTAGGAAAGAGGATCATATGACAGGCAATGGGATTAGAAAGTATAGAAAAAGACAAAAAAAGAGAAATGGAAAAGACAACCACATGTTTTAAAATGGAGAAACAACAATACGGAGAAGGACGCTGACTATACTGTAGCTGGCTTTAGCAAATCGAAACCATTTTAGCATACTAGAATATCATCAAATAATTTACTGCAGCAATGCAATTCAACAAGTTCAATTTATACATCATAGAACATTAGATACACATAGATAGCTATGTGTATCTAATGAAGGTAATCCTCTAGGCTGGTTAATAATGATGACTTTGGCTTACTTTATTCCCATCTTTCATGAACTTTGGGGAACTGAGAAGGTAGCTTTTCTTCTTATGTCACATAAAACAGAATAATATCTGGTTCAAGATAGTTCCATGAATGCAACATGCTCAGCTAACCATCATCATAAGGTTTTAATAAACCAGTAGTGCATTTTGCACCACAGATCTTCTGTCCACTAAATTTTCCATTTATGTCTTTAGATAAGCACTCTGAAGAGGGAGTTTCCTTTGCAAAATTTAACAGGCTTACATATGACATTATACTGCAATTTGAAAGGGGGCTGACTTTGGATCTTCACAAACTGTGAATAAAAAATCTTGATCTGTAATGAATTTATGCAACACAGACATTGCATTTTAGATTGAACAACTAAAAATCAAATAATAGAAATGAAATTTTCATTGCAAATCGAATTCCTTGTGATGCACTTTTTTTGATGAGCCTATAAAACATTGTTTACAGCAGTTTACAGGCAATCACAGGAGGGCTCACAGTGACAGTAAGTAGCTCAAAAGCTGCAGGGTTAGCCAACACCCACTGATGGGAAACTTTGCTGGTGAGATTTAAGGAAATAGAGTGCATTATTTGCCATCAGGTGCACATATAACTGTTGACAAGGGTAAATACAGTAAACGGAGTCATGTGTACCTGCAGATGTCCTGGCTGGAAGGGGAAACGGATGTCCTTGAGAAACTGCATGGGGCGCTAACTGAAGTCGGGCTTCCCGCCTGAAGAACAAAAACATAAAGAGAAAAAATATCTGTTTAAGACAGACAAAAACAAATCATGTGACAATCAACACTCCACTGTTACATAAACAGGACACAACCTAACATGTCACATCACATTATATATCCAGTGGTAAACTGCAGCAGCCCTCTGGAATGACAACAGTCAGGCTGTCAGCTTCTGAACCAGATTTGTTTTTTACAAAAGGCATCAAAGCATGCTGAATACGGACACTGAAGATTAAAAAAAAGAAGAGGAGGAATGGATTCCCAACACTGGTAGTTAATGTATTGGATTAAAGTTATAGCACGCATTTTCTGCCTTAACAGAGGAGGTGAAAAAAACCTGGCAAGCATGAGAGAAGATGCTGTTGAGATGAGATGGCAAAGAGAGATGCGGTGCTGGGAAAAAGCCGAGCTGCAGGCGGCGAGGTCGGGAAAAAAGCTTAAAGTTGGACCTGAGGCCTTATACGTGTTGAAAATCTTCAGTCTTTATAGTGCTTTGGATAAATATCCATAAAACTGCATAAAAAATTTACAGATGCATGTTTTTTCAACTTCTTTTAGAATGTAAATCTCTACGTCAGATGTGTATTTGAATTTATATTCCTCAGAGTCAAGACTTAGTTGCACCAGGGTGAAAATCTGCCCCAGTCTCACATTCCATGCTTTCTCCAACAGGTTTTCCTTTAGTATTGCCCTATATGAAGACAAGTTCCCATAGCATGATGGTGCCACAATCTTGCTTCCTCCTGGAAATGGTCTGATTGCAGATATATGCAGTGGTATATCACCTCATTTTTGCTGCCGTTTCTTGTTTTTTTTGTGTGGATATGTTGACTATATGCAATTGTTAATTAGAGTAAAATGGTGTGAAAAGCAATGCAGAGTACATTTTTCTGATTTTTATTCATAAAACACTTAATATTATTCCTTTAAGTTAAAATTTTACACTACCTGAAAATTAAAAAAGGTGATTAAATAAAAAATTGTATCATAGAAATTAATATTTAGAACTGTAATGTGTAAAAATATGTAGGATCAAGATAAATTAATGCTTTGCAAAAGCTTACAACAGTTCTTATCTCATAACTGGCATTATCTGTACTCTAAAGATTAAAAAAACATTTTTTTTCACTGTTTTTTTAAACTGGTGATAAAGTAAGCATGAGTTATGTGTGACAGAAATGATTACTTAAGCACTTTAGAGCCTAACTTTCTGCCATTACTCATCCAGTTTGGAAGAAATTTGGAAGTATTTCATCAAGACAGCCACACAAATTAGTATTTCTTGTAGAAACCCATTAAGAAGTGAAGCTAGATGCATTTTAAGCATCTTTAAAATCAAAGTTGGTTATTGATTGTACCAGAATCCTAATAGGGCTTACTTGGATCTAGGGATGGGTGTAAGTATTCTCACTACTTCCGTTTTCATTTCTCACTTCAATGTTACCACAGCTGTGTCATCAAGCACATATGGTTTATCAATAATTACAAACAAAGTGTAAAACCTGGGATCTGATGGAGCTGGAGTAGATAATATAAAGACAATTCCAACATGAGACTAATTATCTATTGACTATATATCCTGCCAAAGGAAAATGCATAGCTCATTACCCAACATGGATCAATACAGAACTCAGTGTCGAGCTATGCCCTTCAGAATGTGTTATCTGTATATGCTGAAGAGTTTCTCTTTTTAAAAATGCTTTCAGTTCCACACCAGAGGTCAAACTCCTTTCTTTGTTCCTGTTTTCTCTAATTGTCCCTCCTAAGTTACCGTTTCTCCAAATCACTATGTTCCTCTTGTGTAAATATTTAACATTTTTATGTTTAAAGATCAGAGTGAAACCTTTTTGACTAATTGCACTATATTTTGCTGTTAAAACCAAACAGAGAACAAAGCCAAAAAGTTTAATAGAAGATGCTCTTGTCAGACAAGTCCAAAAGTATTTGGTCTACATGATTTCTGTGATAGATTAGCATAAAAATGGTGTTCACACACACTGTCAATCAAGTCTGACACAACATGAGCCATTTTGCAATGAAAATGAAGCAAAAATATCAGTGTCTGCATGTGCAAAACTGGTAGAGCCATAGACCAGAAACACTTGCAGCTATAATTGTTGCAAACAGTAGCTCTGCCAAACATGCATCATTAGGGCTGAATACAAACTAAATCTATTATTTAATTCCCACTTAAAATAAAAATATTTTACCCCTCATGTCATTTTATCATATAAAGGGCTAAAAAACACCCTGATACAGAGATTAAGATCTTTTATCTAAAACATCAGAACTGGTGTTATAATTTTTAAAATCTTTGCTCCTGTTAATCATTCCCAGAGTCCTCTCACTTATGCTGGCCAATAAATAACCAGCAGAGACTCAAAGCACCCAGATGATGGGATGGTGAGAATATTACTCAAATTTTTAATGATGAACAGTCTGCTATCTGATTGAATCTTCAGACTTTGTAGAATGAGCATTTCAAATGTCTTTTTTGCCTCCAACATTTTCATAAAAAAACAACTTTATTTTAAGTGATTACTCCTTTTGACTTTTTTTCTTCCTTCTCCCTCATGGGAAATTTGGAAATGACATAAGAAATGCACCAAATTACAATTAAAAACAAACCCATGTAAAGAAATTAATAAATATGAACTTGACTAAATCAAGATTTATGAACTACCAGACTAATCCAAAGTCCTACTAATAATTTCAAGAAGGAAAAAGCTGAGACTGGTTATCTTTATAGTTCTGGCTGATAGCAAGGTTATAAAACAGCCACTGATTAGACAGGATATCAAGCAAGCTAAGAAGAATCATTAACTCTTTCAGATCTTGTATATGTTCCTTGAAGTGTCTACTTTTGAGTATTCTGTCTGAACCTATTCAGCTCTATTGCTTTTATCTTTTTTTATCAACCTTTTTCAAACTGTTTATCTACACCCAAGGACCCTCAGCAGCCTGAGCGCTGATGAAAGTTGACATGACAGTGTTCCCCAGGATAAAAAATAGATAAACAAAACAAACAAAAAAAAATAAACCAGCATATATCATCTTGCCAAGAGCTAGATGTAATGATGGAAAGTCTGTGTGGTCTGGAGCCAGAGTCAGCAGCTGATTAGGCCAGATTAAGATCCATGTCTGACCTTCAGGCAGATTCATCACAAAACTAATTTATTACAGCTCTGCTGAAACGTTAGGCAGACCTGAGTAAACACCTCATTTATCTAGTTTTTAAATTAAGAGCCATTTAATCCCCCCATCCCAGCTGTAGTTTATCAATAAGATCTTTTACATTCTTAGTCTGGAAAAACATCTTCAATTAGTTTTGTAGTACTTTGAACTGTATCTGTTACTCCATGAATTTCTTCATTACTATATGAGTAATGCTTTAGGTGTATTTGAAAGTGATCACCTTGCAGGAGATGGAGTGAGGAGTTATGTTTGTCAAATACTAAAGCAACTACTGGTGCTTCTATAGACCAGGGATGTGTAATCGTGAAACCTAAGAAAGGTCTCTGTGAAACTCAATCACAGGATGGCAGTAATCTTATCCACAGAAAGCAGACAGGAGAATTTACTGTCAGCAAAGGTAAATCTTCAAAATTCAAGTTACGTAATAGCATGTTACCATCTTATCGAGACTTTAAAGATATCCATTGTTGTAAATTGGGTAACTACATAGCATGTAGTATGTGTCAAAGCCTGGTTAATTTGATTGGCTGGCTATTTCTCTGGCACTAATGATTTAAATCGCACCATTTTTTCTTCTTAAAAGAGACCCTAGGTTAGAGTTGGAAAAACTCTGGTCCATTTTACCAAAAAGCCTTAATGCAGCAGCCTGATCTCAGTTAGAAGAAGATAGAATGGTCCATAATGCCCATTAAAGATTTCTAGGATTGCCTTTATGTACCAATTATCTACAGAACGCTTTTCATCACTCTTTTCATGTGGGGATTTATGTTTCAGCTTTATGGGCATTTAATTGAGCCATAACTTTTTTCTCCCTGCTTTTTTTCTATTCATAGAAAATTGTACTGGATCTTTTAGTCTATTTAGTTGTGTGTTTGATCAGCATTATCTTTGTGCACCCTTTGTTACACTTTTTCATTAATAGGACACCTGGCTCAGGGTCTCTTTGTTTAACCTTATGTTGGTACTGGGCCAAGTCATTAACAAAATTTGCAAGGCTCTGATAAAGGATCTTGCTTCCCTTTACTGTCACTGCATGCTTGTTCATTAAAGTCAACAACAATTCATCTACTGTCTACACCTGTGTCATGTTTGTATCGGTTACAGAGCGTTGGTGCCTAAATTCAGCAGTCATTTGGTGAGACTATCCCCAGGACAGAGTCCAACCCTCTCTGTATTTGAAAACACAGATTAATATCCAGTATGGCTGAGGCTCACATACCAAGATTAAGCTCTTTAATTGCACTTGTGATGGATTATATCAGATTAAAATTGGTTTCAGAAATATAACTATACAACTGATATTTTTATTCTCCTTTCATGTTTGAATAAACAAATAATTGTGTATTAGTATTAATACTTTATTAAGTTGTATTGCTAACAGCTGTTAACACAACAGGTTTTCTAAATATGCAGGTAAGAGTTTTGGCTTCTGATACAAACTGAAGAGAGGAAAGAAAAGCAGAGCAGGACACCAAAAACTACCAAAACCTTACTTATGTTGATAAGTGTGAAATCACTTGTGATTAAGGCTATACTCCCAAAAAGGTAGAGACATTTCTTTTTACCTAGGTCAGGGTTGTTTTCTTTGATTATGTGTAATTTTTACAGTTTATTTGTCTTTTTCACTAAGAATCAAAGCTTGTTTGATCATGAATGAATGAATGCATGCTACAATACCTAAGAAAACAAACTAGACTTGCAGCACTCAACATGCCTGCTTGCATGACTGGTACCCTAAGCTAAAGTCAGTAACCCTTGTAGAGATCTGGAAGAAAGAGCTGTACAAAGCTCTAATGCAATGAGGCTTATTCTGGAACAAACCAGCAGTTATTTTACTTCAAGCTCCACCGGATGCTTCGCTGATTATCAGAATATCTTATTTATCCTAAATGGCTGCTTTATGGGCTTATGAGGACTGTTAATAGTTTAATTTGCTCCCAAAATTGTGTAGGAGGCATTGTTAGCTTTTTGCTAAACAGAGAGGCCTTTGAACTCAACCTGTGGAAAATCTAATTATGTCAAATCGACGGGCAATCTTCAGCCCACATCATGCTCCCTGATAGTGATTCAGATCTACTTCTAAATGTTTAAAGAGACTAAATTCTGACCGTTTTCTCACAACTTTCAGGTCATTCCCTTTGTGAAAGCTTTATGAACATGCACAGGGTAAACAACCAAATAAAAATAATAGATATTTTTCATTGTATGTACAGAACATTTCTACCCCACAGTTACAAGCTCATTGATGGAGGCAATATCATCCTTATGAAAGAGTGTACCCTCTGGCTGAAATGTTTGCCTGCTTTGGAAGACTCTCATGTTTCACCTGACAGCTTTTCCTTTGGTAAACATCGGTGCACCTGCATATCTGCAACTTAGACTTGTTTCTGTGGTAAACTCAGCAGAAAAAGTCATACATCCCTCACTAGAAGGAAAACAGGCATCTTTTTAGGGTATCAGCCCAAATGTGGAGCAGAATGAATAAATTATTTGTATGTTGGAGATCACAGATCCTCTAAAATGGACTATTGTGCCAAGCTGTTATGAAATACTCCTCTCAGGTTGAAGCTGTGGTTATTTATACAGAGACATATTAGTTAAGTAGGTCAACATCTACATGAAAAAGCATTTGTTCAGTTTTTCTCTTTTCTAAAACTATCCACGCTGATTTGGTTCGAATCGGAGCTGTGTGAGCTAATTCAGCAACACTTGGCTGTCCTGTTTTATCACATGTTGAAAGGAGTAAAAGAAACTGTATTTCGGCGAGGATTATTCATGAAAAACTCTTATCTGCAGCATCTCCAAAAAGAGCATATGTGTAATTTAAAAGAACACATCTTTGGTTGTGTATTTCACTGTGATCCAGTGTTGCAAGACAAATTAACTTGGCCTACATTTTGGTATTCTTGCTGTAAAAAGAAGATTTGAGTCGCTGCCGAAAATATGAAAATCCTTCATCTCATCCTGCCAATACAGCAGAGAACGAGGCGACTTATAAATATACCGCATATTTGAATAAAATCTCACTTTTCTGCTCCTGCAGATCTTATTTGAAGCAGCCTGGAGGAAACGTGGTTTTTAAAAGATAGTGTACAACTGAAGATATATAATATTCCTGCGACGAGCAAGACTGCTGGCATAATCTGCTAAAAGTTTTACTAAGTAACTTCTTTGTCTGGATTTCCAATTTAGTTGAACCTTTTCTCTATTGTGCAGACTGGCTCTTTTTAAACAGATAAGCATTCTCGTCCATCCAGAGAACAATTAATCCCAATTCAAAACCTGTCCATCAGTCCCAATCCCTAAAGGGGGGAGAAGGAAACACCATCTGGCAGCTCGACTGCTCGATATTAATTAAAACTGTCAAACTTAAGAGCATCCTTAATACTTTATGTCTCTCCCTTTGTTTGACACACATTTGTCAGATGAATGATGGTCTAGGTGGGACGTTTAATGACAAAGTGCCTGCTTCTGCTAACCAAGGAAAAGGTCAGTAAAAAGTAGTCCTTAAAGGAGCCATATTATGCAAAATCCACTTTTCCCAACCCTAATATGTTTTGTTGTATATCTGGAGTCTCTAGGACAACAGTTAAGATGAATTTATTTTCTCCAAGTGATGCATGATATGCTTATGTTCTGTTTTGGTTACATGTATCCACCTGTTCAGCTTTTACAGTTCCCTTATAACCAACACACTAATCTACTCCAGAACTGCTAAAAAAAAAAAGTCATGCAGTTCCAGGTTATCAATTTTATGAATCTACCATCTTCATTTCTCAAAGTGAATAGCGTACTGGAGTTCAAGGATGGATTAGTCAAACATAATAGTTGTTGGTTGTATTGACTCATACAATTTGTTACACTGCGTCCACTACTTTCTGCACCAACTATATTGCAATGGTGGAATGTCTATTTTGCTTTTAAATAGACCATAACTTGGTGATTGAATCCGTAAAAGCAGAATAGGTGAATTTAGTGCCATCTTTGCTGCAGTTTCACTATGCTTTTTGCGTGTCCGCAGCGGAGGAGAGAGAGGACAGATCGCTTGAGTTATATTTCCCCCCAAATAAATAATGGTCATTATTGTATAAATATTGTTGCTTTCTACAGCATCCCAGCTCATGCAGCTATTTTCATTGTACAGATCAGTTATCATTTGATCACTGCGCTGGTGGCTGCTCTGAAATCATTGCGCTGTTGGCGACACTGATGACGTAGACCTAGTTATATTTAATTACAAATATGATTTTTTCCCCCCTCCAGCTCACAGGTAAAACTGTCTCAAAGAGAGAGACTTCAGCTAAAACCGAAACTGAAGGGGGTGGAAGTTTCTCCAGCCACAGCGCTAATGGTGCATTTACATCTGAAAAGGGATTCATGAGTTGATGAGTACTGCGGGGTGATTGCAGGCTGAAGAAAATTCTCGTATCTGTGGGATTTCTAGTGTTAAATGGGAAACAGCAGGGTTTAAAAACATAACATCCACCTTTAGAATGAGGATTACATTTCCAAACACTAAAAGCAACAGAAACCCGATTTATGGAAGGGAGAACATTTGAATATTACCTCTACACAATAAAAAAGTTTGATAGAGAAATGTTGTAAGTCATTTATTTACAGTATATGCACTCAATACTTAACTTTTCCGATTTTTTTCCTTCCACTAAACTTTCATAACTACTCCTTAGTACAATAATGTGACAAGCTTTTGTCCTTTTGTAGATAACAGTCCTTGTGGTTGGGTTCAATGTCTATCAGTTTGGCAATCTTTCATTTGAGGGTCCATACCACTACATGAACATAACCAAGCATGCCTTTAGACTAATGTTTCTATGTCTATTTGATATTCGAATTTCTCCAAAACTAAGGGTTTTAAAATCCAACTAAACAAACTCTTGAAATATTTGACTCTGCATAATGAACCTGTCCAGGGGGTTCCCTGCCTTCTGCCAACTGACTGCTGGAGATAAGCAACAGCCCTACGCAACACATTTTTTTTTATCACATATCACATAAAATCAACAAAATTTTCTTAAAGTAAACACGTCTACAAACCAAATTATGAGTTTGCCAGGTTTTTGCCCAAGCAGCCCATTTCACTAATGGAGCTTCAGACTCTCCTCCAAGACATTATTTATGTCAAACCGCAACCTTTACCCTGAAAATGAGCAATAAATTTGCCACTTGGGTGCATTAAATGCCCCATTCCTCGTGTCCAAAGAGCAAGTGGCGGGTGAATCAAATAAAACTGCTGGGAGCTGTCCCCTAGTGACAAAATAACCCTGACATCTATTAGTCCAACTAAAGTGTTTATACTCTAAGAGGCTCAGGGGAGTGTGGACTGATAGTGTGACACGGCACTTAATACAGGAGGCTGACTTTAGGTACAGTGGAATGAGAGGGAAAAAGAAAAAATGGATAAAGGAGAGTTAGACAGACTGATTGGAGCAGAACAGAAACCATGATAGGGCCAATTTGATGTGAAAAAAGTGATTGTTTTAGCTGTTCTTAGTCTGTCAACTACTTCCATCTGCCTCCGTCTTTAATTTAGAAATTCTCCATTTGTCGGTGTGTAACTCACCTTTGATATATTACTGGATCTGCTTGCTGAATGACCCAGAGGCTTTTCATTCTGTAAAAAAAAACAAGAAAGACCAAACATTATCCAGGAGTTAGAAAAAAAATAAATAAAAAAGCTAAAATCAAGATGAAAAGTAAACAATGGTCAGAGTGCCCATCAGCACTGTGAATAAACATTTTATTCTCAATAAAGCACTTTCTCTCTAATGAACGGTGCTGCTAAAGGAGCAGCCTTCATGCTTTCACATGCAAAGCATTTATAGTGCAAATAAGGACGGACTGATTCAAGCTGCAACTTTCATGAGTTTAGGGATTTCAGTGAACCTTGTTTAAAATCCTAAATTTGTAAATACACTTCCTATGGCACTACAAAAAGAGGTTGAGCTGACTGAATAACGTATCATCCAAACTTCACATTAATCCTCGTCCTAATATTTGGATCATTAGCAGGCAAGCTAAACAAGCAAATACTTCCAAAGCTGTAAAGACGTGTTGTGACGCCTTGTAAATTCCTCCTCCATGTTTTCAGCTCATATCAGAGGCTGGGAAAAACAGCCACAGGCGTGTCCTGGTTTATTCACAATCAGTATTCAAAGCCAGTGTGCTTTCTTATTTAGCAATCAAACAATTACATAACACAGAGTTTGCATCAGATTTAACCGGACGTGTTGACTAGCATGCAAAGAGAGAGAGAGGAACTGGCAGTGTGGAAGCATTTTCTCAAACCTTCTATTTTAGTTATAGTTTAATTAAAATACTAAAGGTTAAAAAATAAATACATAAAATAAGCTTTGTTACATTTCCCACCTGTTTAACCCCAAACCTACCCCACACTAACTCAATACTTCAAGCATTAGATCATTTAACAAGAAACAACTCAAAACTAATCACTGTGTTTTATTCCTCTAAAACATTCCTTTCTATGTTATAAGCTACATTAAAGCTTTGTTTGTGCGCAATCTGGGACATTTCCTTGAATAAACAATGCTGTGCTAGCAGCAATATGAAAAAAAAAACACTGTCTTTGTGATCACTTACAAGAGTAAGTGTTTGACAACATGTCTAAACCCCAAATGTCACCATTCTACAGCTGCAGGCCTCCTTTATGTGTGATGTTTACACTGATCCCTCCCAGCAAGTGCAGGTGGAAATCTGAACCATAGACTAGGCCTCACTATTCCTGGCACAAAGTGTAAAGTGTAAAATGAACCACGGTACATGGCTAACTCGAAAGTTAAGAGCATGACGGATAAAAAGAAACTTAAGGCTCAAGCTGATAAAAAGTTGTGGTGTGTAAAATCTAGAATTTAAGCAGTTGACAGCTTAATTCTTATTGTCATAACATGTTTAAAAAGCAAAATGCGCCTCTTTGCTTACAAAAACAAAACATAAATATTACAGAGGAATGCAGCATCCTATTAGTCATGGGAGTATGCAGTGGTGGCTGTCTCTGTCAGAGAAGCTACTCATTAGATCGATGACATTTCCAGCATTTTTCCTAATTGATTATTAAATTATAAGGTTAAAAGGTATTGGATAAAGGATGGTTAGGCACAAAAATGCAAACATATTTTATTAAAGGGCAAAATATAAAATGCTGAACACAAACCATCATGCATTCACATAGTTCCAAAAAAAGGTCAACTCAGCATGACCAGGTAAACTACTATGACTGTTCAGTAGACTGTTAGTAGACTGTATCAGTCAAAGTAAGGGAGCAGTCCTGTTACACTTCAGCACAGTACTCATTGTGTAAATACCACAATTCATGATTATTTCAATGCATGTATTTATATATTTGTTTAAATCAATAGGCAGTGATTACATAAAACAGCAAAAAAATAAACTAATAAACAAAAGAACTGTTATTCTAGAGGTTTATTGCTAAAAATCTCTCTTTTTTAAAGCCATTCTATCATCCTTTTCTTAAACCAAAGAAGCTTGGTGGAGTAAACAATGTAAAAGCTGGCATTACAGCAACTATGTTAAGGTGTAAACATAATTATGAGGGAGATGGCAAAGAAAAAAAAACTTTTTATCAGGTTTATTTCCTTTTCCCACACTTCGCTCCAGGAAACACCCAAGTAAACACCCAAGTAAAAACATGTTTTTCAAGGCTTTGCCACTCGAACAGGAACCCATGCAGCAACATAAAGACACATTTCTACACCATCACCAGAACCAAGAGTTCCTCCCCGCTTGTTTATGTGCAGGCAGAAACTTGTTTGGTTCCTCTTTATGTCATAGACAGTAAATGCATCGATTAGTATAGAGAAGTTAAAAACTTCAACTGATTCACAACAATTCTGAAGCCGTCTTGAAAAGTTCATAAGATGATCCTTTCATTTAGAATGTGACTCCTTTTTATGCTACAGCGAGGAAAATAAGCACCAGAACACCATGCAATTTTTCAAGTTCTCCCACTTAGAAATCTGAAATTGTCATTGTAGGTGCATGTCCACTGTGAGAGACATAATCTAAAAAGAAATTCCAGAAATCCCAATGTATGATTTTTTTTTAAACTATTTATATGTATGATACTGCAAATAAGTATTAAAACACCTGAGAAAAATCAATGTTAATATTTGGTTCAGTAGCCTTTGTTTGCAATTACAGAGGTCAAATGTTTCCTGTAGCTTTTCACCAGGCTTGCACACAATGCAGGAGGGATTTTGACCCACTCCTCCACACAGATCTTCTCTAGATCAGTCAGGTTTCTTGGGTGTGGCTGTGAAAGAAGTTTGAGCTCCCTCCAAAGATTCTCTATTGGGTTTAGGTCTGGAGTCTAGGTCATGCCAGAACCTTGATATGCCTCTTCCAAACCACTCCTTGGTAATCCTGGCTGTGTGCTTCAGGTCATTGTCATGTTGGATGACCCAGCCTCGACCCATGTTCAATGTTCTAACTGAGGGAAGGAGGTTGTTCCCCAACATCTCGCAATATATGGCCCCAGTCATCCTCGCCGTGTCCCATGTGCAGAAAAACACCCCTAAAGCATGATGCTACAACCACAATTTCTCCTCAATTGTCTTTGACAACTCTTTGGTCTTGGCCATGGGATGGTGTCTTTATGTAGCTAACAACCTCAAATAGGTGCATCTAATTTAGCATGATAAACGGAGTGGAGGTGGACATTTTGAAGGAAGACTAGCAGGTCTTTGGGGGTCAGAATTCTAGCTGATAGACAGATGTTCAAATACTTATTTGCAACTGTCATACAAATAAATGGTTAAAAATCATATATTGTGATTTCTGGATTTTTTTTTCTTTTTAGATAATGTCTCTTACAATGGACATGCACCTAGGATGGTAATTTCAGACTCCTCCAGGATTTGTAAGTGGGGAAACTTGCAAAATAGCACTTTGTTCAAATACTTATTTTCCTCACTGTAATTGATGGCAAAAGGGTTGCTTTATAAAGTTGCCCTGCCAAAGCCTAAATGGTATAATAAGTGTAATGGTATAATAATCTGCTGACGGTTCTCACTCAATGTTGCCAATTTGCCATGGTAATAAGACACAAACTAGTGCCAGGTTTCGCCATCCTTCAACCCAATGTTTTTGTTTTACTTAATGCATGGGGACATGTAAACACTGCAAAATACAGGCTGCTCAAAGGACCTATAAACATACCTGCAAGATTCAAAATTAAGTTTGTCATCCAAACAGACATAAATGTTTGCCCATTAAACTGCTATACCACAAACATCTGGTCTTACTGGGAGAAAAGGGACACTCCATTTCTGGTTCAAGCTTGGTTAAATACAATCCTGTCATCTTCTCTAGTGACCTTTCATTTTCTTGAGCTGATCTGGTTATAGCAGAAGACTTTTCTAACATCAAACATGCTGTTAGAAAAATTAGCATGAATATAATTTGTTGCTGCTCTGCTGACTCAACTAAAAACGTCAGCTGCAAGCCTGGGGCTTCATGCCAAAAATAATATCTCTATCTTTAAAGATCCGGTTTCTAACCAACAAAAGGTTTTGCTCTACCATGGACTAAAGTTTGACTATTTTCTTTCCTGTTAGTGTTTATCATGGCTGCAATTAACCAAGTCAGTTCTTGAATAGAGGGATAAGTCTTCTTTGAAAGAGCTGCTAAGGTTTACAAAACAGATTTTATTTCTAGGAGCATAATGCAGAGAAAATAGTAATCAAATGAAGCACTCATAACAAACACAACGATCTGAATGCTCAGTTTATTGTCGGCTCTTTCATTACTTAAAGCTTGAGAACTCGGGTCTAGAGTTTTGCACAAAACCTTTCAGTTTGACTCCATGCATGCAATTTGTTTTAAAGGTTACATCATAACTTATTATCCAGTATAGTTTTCAGCTATGAAAAGATCTAAAATATAACAACAGATGACTGCACTGCATGTTTAACTGTCGAGTTTTATAGGGAAAAAAATGTGCTTACAGATTTGCAAGAGCCAAAAAGGTAGACTGATGAAAGATGGCTGTTAGATAAGTCAAACTATTTCTATATTAGTATTTAGCTGACTTATAAGCATCCTCTCCTATTCTGATGTTAACAAATCCAATCTGCCCCTAAACCAACACATTTGATTTAAACAAACACATCTAAGATAAAAGTATTTAAAAGAGAACCTACCTACTCCCATTCACTAATTTGCTTGAGAGACTAAATCTGCTCCATGATGTTGCATTTTTATGTCACTACTTCAGAATTTAAGTATTATTCTCCATTTCTTGTGCTTCACCTTGACAACATGATCAATTTCATTTCCATAAGGTGCCATGTACAGCTCTCCCAGGATACAATTTGTTCAGAAACTTCAATAAAAAAAGACTGACATGGAACCCAGATTCCAGAGGTATCGCAATCAAGGTTTAAAAAGATCAACAAAGATATACACGACACTGATGGTACCTTATCTTAGACATGTATTATCTGTCAAAAGTGAAAAAGCAAGGGAATATGACAACATGAAATAACAAGGCCACATGTGTAATGTTTTAGATAGCAGTGATCAGAACAGAAACTCTGAACACAACATAGAGTTTCGTCTTTCAAACAGATTTTAAAA